ATCCCAGGAACTGTATGAGGTAGAAAAACTTTTAGAAGGTAAACACTTTGTGCATAGGGAAGGATGAACTGATTTCTTTCTTTAGTGCTAAGTAGGTCGGTAGGAGTAGTATAGGAAATTTCTTGTCAGTGGTTTTGCCACTGAACTTTTATTATGTGTTTAAAGGATATTATGCTGATTACAGCATCAAAGCAACCAGGTGGAAATAGCCCTTTTAGAAAATTTTCAGCCTGATGATTTACTGTCTGAACTAATGACATTACTGTCTTTCCCATCCAGTTTGGTGGGATAAAGGTAGACTGAATCCTTTGCTAAGATGAGGGTAGGGTAGCCTCTGGCCATAGGGTATGGGGAGTGCTGACACAGACTTTCTTTTTTTTTTTTTTTTTTTTTTAAATATTTTTTTTTAGATGTTGATGGACCTTTATTTTACTCATTTATTTGTATGCGGTGCTGAGAATCGAACTCAGTACCTCTCACATTCTAGGAAAGCGCTCTACCACTGAGCCACAACCCCCAGCCCTGAAACAGACTTTCCACCAGCCACTTTATTTATTTTGTGGTACTAGGAATTGAACCCAGGGGTACTTTATTACTGAGCTGTCTCAGCCCTTTTCATTTATTTATTTATTTTGGCACTGGGGGTTGAACCAGGGGCACTTAACCACTGAGCCATATCTCTAGCCCTTTTTTTATATTTTATTTTGAGACAGGATCTCACTGAGTTGCTTAGGGACTCGCTAAGTTGCTGAGACTGGCCTTGAATCACAATCCTCCTGCCTCAGCCTCCCAAGCCACTGGGATTACATCGTGTGCCACCACGCCTGGCACCCTTTTTATTTTGAGATAGGGTCTCATTGAGTTGCTGAGGATACCCCTGAACTTTCAATCTTTCTGCCTCAGCTTCCCAAATCACTGAAATTACAGCTGTGGGCCACTGTGTCTGGCACATCCAGCCACTTTATATTAGCTGCATGCTTTATTCCCATTTTTGGAGGTAACTGGTGCCACTAAGTTCCCAGCCTTTTAGGGATTATGTAGCATGAATTGGCTGGGACTTGTCAGACTTTTCTGAAAAGTCATTTAACTCCCTTGTCTTTTTGCCAATTTCTAAAATTTTGCTATAGTTGTTCCTTTCCTGTTCTTCCTAAGCTTGTAGTATTATGCTTTTAAAAAATCCTCTTTAAGGGGCTGAGGTTGTGGCTCAGAGGTAGGGTGCTAACCTACCAAGTGTGAGGCACTGGGTTTGATCCTCAGCACCACATAAAAATAAGATAAAGATACTGTGTCCACCTATAACTAAAAAATAAATATTAAAAAAAATCCTCTTTAAGTATGGTGAAGACTTCTTACATTCAATACAAAAAGCACAATCCATAAAGTAAAAATTGACAAGTTGAACTTAAATAAAATTTAAGACATCTTCTCTGCAAAAGACATTGTAAGAGATTGAAAAAGCGAGCCACAGATTAGGAAAAAGTCTTTGCAAAATACTTATCAGATAAATGGGCTAGAATAGAATCTAAAATAAATAAAATTTGCAATTCAAAAATAAGAAAACAACTCAATAAAAGGGGAGTAACAGGCCAGGCAATGTGGTACATGCCTGCAATCCCAGCAACTCTGGAGGCTGAAGCATGAGGATCACAAGTTCAAGGGCAGCCTCAGCAATTTAGTGAGGCCCTTTAGTAAGCAACTTATTGAGACCCTGTTTCAAAATAAGAAATTAAAAGGGATGGGGATGTAGATCTGTATAAAGCACCCCTGGGTTCAGTATTCAGTACTAAATAATAATACTAATTCTAAAATAATGCAAAAAATAAAAATAAGTAACAGATCTAGCCAGGCATTGTGGCACATGCCTATATCCCCAGCTACTCAGGAGGCTGAAGCAGGAGGATAGCAACTTCAAGGTCAACCCAGGCAATATAGTGAGATGCTTTTTTCAGAAAGAACAGAAAATGAAGCCAGTTCAAAGAGATGTCTGCATTCCCATGTTTATTGTAGCACTATTCACATTAGACAAGAAATAGATTTAACCTAGGTGTTCAATAACAGATGAATGGATAAAGAAAATGTGGTACATATACACAATGGAATATTATTCAGCCTTAAGAAAGAAGGAAACTGCACCACACCTGTAATCCCAGTGACTCTGGAGGGTGAAGCAGGAGAATCACAAGTTCAAAGCCAGCCTCAGCAATTTAGTGAGGCCCTAAGCAATTTAGCAAGATTGTGTCTCAAAAAATTTAAAAAGGGCTGAGAATGTAGCTTAGTGGTAAAGCACTCCTGAGTTTTAATCCACAGTACAAAAAAAAAAAAGAATGAAATTGATTGTAATTTGTGACACCATAGTTGGACCTGGATTTCATTATGTAAAGTAAAGTAAGCCAGGCACAGACAATGCATGATCTCATTAGTGTAATCTAAGAAAGTTTATCTCATAAAATTAGAGAGTCGAATAATGATTACCAGAAGCTGGAGAGGTAGGTAAACAGATACAAAGTTAGAGTTACATGGAGGAATAAGTTCTGGTGTTCTGTTGCACATAGAGTGACTGTAGTCAATAATGGATATGTCAAAATAGCTAGAGGAAAGGCTTTTGAAAGAAACAATAAATGGTTGAGGTGATGAATATGCTATTTACCATGATTGGCTCATTATATAAGGTATGTGTATTGAAACATCACATCGTATCCTGTAAATTGGACTTTTGTGTGTGTGTGTATGTGTGTGATACTAGAGATTAAACCCAGGGATGCTCTACCACTGAGCTACATCTACAGCTCTTATTTAATTTTTTTATTTTGAGACAGGGTTTTGCTAAGTTGTTGAGGTTTGCCTTGAATTTGTGATCCTCCTGCCTCAGCCTCCTGAGTCTGTGAGATTATAGGCATGCACCACCATGCCCAGCCAAACAATTATTACATGTTGATTAAAAATAAAATTAAAATTGATTATAAGAGACTCAGGAGGCTGAGGCAGAAAGATCCCAAATTTGAAATGAAGCTTTGCAACTTAGTGAGACCCTGTCTCAAAATAAAAAATAAAATGAACTGGGGATATAGCTCATTGGTAAAGTGCACCTGGGTTCTATTTCCAGTACAAAAACAAACAAAAAATGTGATTAAAAGGTAATCCCCTTTTGCTGTTGTTTTTAATTGGATTTCAGGAAGGAGTAGAATAGTTAGTTGTACATGCTTCATTGCCATCTTATGTAGGAAGTTTTAGAAATACTTTTCACATTTATTTATTTGTTTATTTATTAATGTGGTGCTAAGGATTGAACCCAGTGCCACACACATGCTAGGCACGTGTTCTGCCACTAGCTACAACCCCACCCCACTTTTCTTTTTAAGATTAGTATAAGTCAAGCTGGGGCTGTTGCTCAGTGGTAGAATGCTTGCCTAGCATATGTGAGGCACTAAGTTTGATCCTCAACACCCCCCCCCCATAAAAATAAATAAATAAATAAATAAAGGTATTGTGTCCATCTACAACTAAAAAAAGAAAAGATTGGTATAAGTAGGGCTGGGGTTGTGGCTCAGTGGTAGAGCACTTGCCTAGCACATGTGAGGCACTGGGTTCAATCCTCAGTACCACATAAAAACAAATAAATAAAATTAAGGTATTGTATCCACCTACAGCTAAAAAATATTTTTTAAAAAGATTAATATAAGTAGTAAAATATAAAATACCTTGCTTTTAGCTTATAGTCTAATGTTATCTAATAAACTAGCATTGTATTTTATGGATAACTACTTGTCATTAAGTAAGTTTACCCTAAAATAAGCTTAGCTACTTTAATTACTATTTGAGCAGTTTTTCATAGTAATTATTAACTCAATACAATGATTAAAACAGAGATGACACTCCCCTTTAGTGCAGTGTTCTATTATTATAGTATTATATGCTGTTTTGCTTTTATTTGTTTATTTGTTTAGTTACTTATTTGACATGGTTGCTCTAAGACCAGTGTCTAGTACAGTATCTACCATATAGTAGGGGATCAATAAATGTTTATTTAAGAGAGGATAAACCAACCAGAGTTCAAATGAGAATGAACGTTTGCCATATAAAGTATAGCAGCTTAAAATATTTGGAATTGTGAAGGGGTTAAAAATTTGGCAAAAGAGAAATTCCAGCTTCAAGGCAGAAATCATAGTGTATATGTAAATTGCTTATCTTTGACAGGTGGTGCAGAATCTGATGACAGTGTTTCAAGGCAGCAAATAAAGATCTCTCCTTGGTCACTGGTAGTTTGTAAATTTCTAGCCTACCAGGGGCAACACTCCTAATAGCTTTCCATTTTTCCATTTTGAAAGGTGTATGTGTATTTACTATTAGAACACAGAACACATTAAAACAGTTTTTTAGTTAATTTCTAAAAGTTACTTTTGACATATAGATTGTTCTCAGTTAAAGCATTAACTATGCAGAATAGCTATAGTGTTTACAATCTCTTAAATATTTTTCTGCCAAGACTCAGTAGATGATTTAATCATATGATGTTACCCAGACACCAATATATAATTACAAATTTTCATGTTCTTCTGTTAATTTCTCTTTTTCTTTTTTCACATAGTGTTAGTGGTAATTTTATCTTGTTATTTGTCAGTTGTTGCGTTTCTAGAAATACCTGGCAATACCTTATACCAGAATTATCTAAGTAATTTAAAATACCACATCTTTATTTACAAATGTACGTATGACATTCAACAAGCATGCTTGACATTTCTTAGACAAGAAGTGTTCTACTAAAGACCCTAATAGATTCCTTTGTCTTAGCTCCTTTACTATAACATACTACAGTAGATCCAATAGTCTTTCTGGTGATTATCTTCCCATGTGTAGTTTTCTCTGAAATTGTACTCTAGGAAATTAAGAGAAAGTGTCTCTCTTTGAGGAATATATAAATAAATTTGGAGTTACGCATGGTAAACTGGTAGGTTTGATGACTTCTGACTTGACTCACATTTTTCTTTTCTATTTCTACACAGATTGATAGAGCTACATTCTCCTGATAGCAGGAACACGTTGATCCTCCGCTGCAAGGATACAGCCACAGCACACTCCTGGTTCATAGCTATCCACACCAACATAATGGCTCTCCTCCCACAGGTGTTGGCTGAGCTTAATGCCATGCTTGGTGCAACCAGTACTGCAGGAGGCAGCAAGGAAGTCAAGCACATTGCCTGGCTGGCAGAACAGGTAGGCTGGAGGAGGAAGAACAGAGTTCACTGGCCCCCATTCAGAGTCAGAATCATTGTCCCATTGCATATATCTGTAATATTTATCATGCAGTTAGGTCCTGGACATCTACCTTGAAAATCTTTTGTTTGAGTCAGGTATGTTGGTGCACATTTGTGCAATTTGGGAGGCTGAGGCAAGAGGATCACAAGTTTAAGGTCAACCTCAGGAATTTAATGAGACCTTGTCCCAAAATAAAAAGGAGCCTGGGGTAGTCGAGTATGGTGGTAAATGCCTGTGATCTCAGCAACTCGGGGTAGTTAGGCAAGGGGATTCTAAGTTCAAAGTCAGGTTCAACAATTTAGCAAGATCCTATCTCAAAATGAGAATAAAAAGGGCTGGGGATGTTGCTCAGTGATAAAGCACCCCTAGGTTCAATCCTCAGTATCCAAAAAAAAGAAAAGAAAAGAAAAAAGCACTGGGTGTGAGGAAGGTCTATGCTAGGAAAATAACTGAGTGGTAGAATGCCACTGGGTTCAATCCCCAGTACCACTAAAAAAAAAAATCTTTTTTTGTCCACTCTTTTGTTTCTCCTCCCCTTTCTCCTTTCTACCATTTATCTATTTGTTGCTAATTATCACCTCTACTAGAAGAATTAACTGTAATGGTAATCCCCATCACAGTATAATTAAAAAGAGGTTCTTATTACCATCTCTGTCCTTACTGACACAGGGTAATTTTCATGATTTTAGTCTAGGGTGAGTGAACTTTTTCTCTAAAGGACCAGATAGCACACAACTATGTATTTGACTCTGCTGTCATAGCAGGAAAATAGTCATGAATAATATGAAAATAAAGGAGCAAGACTGTGTTTCTGTAAAAGTTTATTTAGAAATACAAGTGGTAGGGGAGGATTTGGCCTTGAGGTGAGTTTCTCCATCCTTTTTGTTGTGTACTAGCAGAGTTTCTAGGGGCAACAGGAATCTGACAGGGGCTTAGCTGGATGATTCCATCTTAAGAGGTCTTATAAAGTAAGGGTCAAGCCGTTAGCCAGGTGGCATTTATCTGCAGACTTGACTAAGAGTGTTAAGTTCACTTAAAAGATGATTCATTCTTTTGGCTACTGAAGCTTCAGTTTCTTCCTGGATGTTGGCAGATGTCCTTAGTTCCTTGCCATGTGAGCCTTTATGTAGAGCTATCTGAGGGACCTGGAAAACATGGCTACTGGTTTTTCACATAATGAGTTTTCTGAGAGAACAAGGCAGAAGCCATAGTGCTTTTTATGATGCAATCTCAGAAGTCACATACTGTAACTTCTGCTTTCTTCTTTTATTAGAAATTAATCACTAAGCTTGGCCTACAGTGAACTCAGGGTCTGTCTCTTAAAGGAAGAATAAGAAAGAATTTATGATCACACTTTAAAACTACCACAAAGTATATATGCATTTATAATTTTGATAAATATTACCAAGGTGTCTTCAATTGGGGTTGTAATAATTTAGTTTTCTACCGGGAATGTTTGAAAGTTGCCAGATTTTTAAGTTAATTTAATTGGGTTTATTCTAAAAAGGAAAAAAGTAGAGCCTCCAATTTATTACAACTGCTTTTTATATTTATGTGTATTTCCACAACTCACTTGGAAGATCTACTTCAGGAGTATACTTTTTCCCAAATCCTTATTGCTTCCAGGGAACTTAACCTAGTGATTTGTGTATGCTCAATAATTTTGTTTTCTTTGACTGCATACATACATACATTAAAAAAAAAACCAGCAAATAAGTCATAATTCTTTTATTAAAATATTTTAAGATATTGTCTAAGAATACAAGTTCATAATTGGGAATAATATTACGCAAAGAAGTTTCAACCATTCTAAAGATAGTACTGCTAATTCAAAGAACTGTTTCTAAAATATTCTTGATTTTTATTTTTATTTATTTATCTCCTTATTTTTATTTTATTTATATATGTATATATACATACAAGTATTGGGAATTGAACCCAATGAAGTTTAACCACTGAGCTACATTTCCAACCCTTTTATTTGCCATTTTGTAACAGGGTCTCACTATGTTGCTTAGGGCCTTGCTAAGTTGTTGAGACTGGCTTTGAACTTGGGATCCTCCTGTATCAGAGTTGCTGGAATTACAGAAGTACACCACCACACCTGGCTTGATTTACATTTTTTGAAGTACTCAAATCAAATTTTATTCTCAGAATAAGTTGTTCAAACAAGACTGAATGCCATTTCTCAGAAGTAATGAGTTCACGTATCTAATAAACATTGAACTAGGTAAATACCAATCCTGTTCTACATGGGAAAATGATCAGAAAAAAATCTGGATCATGTAATCTGTTTAATGTTGGCAAATACTTATTTTGTATTTCTTGAAAAGCTTGCATATAAATGAAATTTTTGCACTTAGAAAAGATAGACTGCTTGTCATGCATGCACAAGGCCCTGGGTTTAATCCCCAGCATCACACACACACACACACACAAAGAGTTATTTTAAACAGAGAAATTAGAAAGGATACTGGGCCTAGTGGCACACCCTGTAATCCCAGTGGCAAAGAAGGTGGAGGCAGGAGGATCCAGACTTCAAATCCAGCCCCAGTAATTTATCCAGGCCCTAAGTAATTTAGGAAGGGCCAGGCATGGTGGTGCATTCCCGTAATCCCACCAGCTTGGGAGGCTAAGACAGGAGGATCGCAAGTTCAAAGCCAGCTTCAGTGACAGTGAGGTGCTAAACAACTCAGTGAGACCCTGTCTCTAAATAGGGCTGGGGATATGGCTCAGTGGCCAAGTGCCTCTGAGTTCAATCCCTGGCCCCCTCCCCTCAATAAAATAAAATATAACAAGGGCTGAGAATGTGGCTCAGTGATTAAACATCCCTGGATTCAATCCCTAGGACCAAAAAGAAAGAAAGGATCATTTGTTTTAAATTATTTCTCCTTATCTTTTTTTACTCACATTTTCATACATTGTGTTTGCTTTAAACAGGGAATACCTATGCTATGCATATTTGATAACCAATAGAAAACCTGTTCTATATACAGGGATTTCCATCTTTTTATTGACTGATTTTTTTTTTTTTTTTTTTTTTTTTTTTTTTAGAGAGAGAGACGGAGAGGGAGAGAGAATTTTTTATTTATTGTTTTAGTTTTCGGCGGACACAACATCTTTGTTTGTATGTGGTGCTGAGGATCAAACCCGGGCCGCATGCACTCTTATTGACTGATTTTTAAAAAATTTTTTTAATATGTATTTTTTAGTTATAACTGGACACAACATCTTTATTTTATTTATTTGTTTTTAAGAGGTGCTGAGGATTGAACCCAGGGCCTCACACGTGCTAGATGAGCCCTGTACTGCTAAGCTACAACCCCAGCCCTGACTTTGATTTTTATGTGACTGATATTTTACAATTCATTGGTTATATTCTTTTAAAAAATTGTTTGTGTTTACATAGCTTCATTGACAAATAATAATTATATATTTATGGAGTATCAAATATGATGTTTCAATATATGCATATATTGTGAAATAATCAAATCAGGCTAATTAACACATTCATTACTTCAGATATTTATAAATTCTTCATGGTGTAAACACTTAAAATCCTCTCTTAGCTATTTTTAAATATATAACTACTTTATTATTAACGATAGTTACTATGCTTTTTAATAGATCACTAGAATTTAATCCTTCTAACAAACTTTGTACCCCTTTACTAACATCTTACCTCCTTGCCCCATAGCCTCCGGTAACCACCATTCTAGTCTTTACTTCTAGTGAAATCAACTTTTTAAGATTCTGCATATAAGTGAGATTATACAATATTTGTCTCTGTGCCTGGTATATTTTTAGAGATCATGTCCTCCAGGTTTATCCATGTTGTTGCAAATGACAATTTCCTTCTTAGGGCTGAATAATATTCTATTGTGTATATGTACCATATTTTCTTTATTCATTCATCATTGATAGACACATAGGTTGATTCCGTGTCTTGGCTTTTATGAATAATATCGCAATACATGTGGGAGTGCAGACTGATTTCAAATCCTTGGGGTAAATACCCAGAAATGGTACTTCTATTTTTAGTTTTTTGTTGTGGTTTTTGTTTGTTTGTTTGTTGGGACTAGGGATCGAACCTAGGGGAACTTAACATCTTCAGCCCTTTTTATTTTTTTATTTTGAGATATGCTAATTAGCTGAGGCTGTCTTTGAACTCACGGTCCTCCTGCCTCAAGCCTCCTGAGCTGCTGGGATTACAGGTGTGCTCCACCATGTCTAGCTTAGTTTTAGTTTTGAAGAACCTCCATGTTAGTTTTCATAATGGCGATACTAATTTACATTCCCATCAATAGTGTATAAGGGTTCCCTTTTCTTCACTTCCTTGCCAGTGCTTACTTTCATCCTTTTGATAATACATAATTTAACAGATGTGATATGTCATAGTGGTTTTAATTTGCATTTCCCTGTTGCTTAGAGATGTTGAGCATTTTTTCACATATATTTGTCAACCATTTATATGTCTTGGTTTGAAAAATGGCTGGTCAAGTCTTTACCTTTGTGTGTATGTATATGGTGTAGGCGTTTGAACCCAGAACCTCATACATGCGAGGCAAATGTTCTACCGCTGAACTAAACCCCTAGCTTTGCCCATTTTTTAATAAGAGTTATTTTGTTTTTAATGAGTAGTTTGAGTTTCTTGTATATTTATCTGATAAATGATTGGCAAATATTTTCTATCAATCTGTGTGTTATTTTTTTAATCTGTTGTTTAGTGTGCTGTGCAGAAGATTCTTTTTTTTTTTTTAAAGAAAGAGAGAGAGAGAGAGAGAATTTTTTTTTTAATTTTTTTTTTTTTTTTTTTTTTTAGTTTTTGGCGTACACAACATCTTTGTTTGTATATGGTGCTGAGGATCGAACCCGGGCCACACACATGCCAGGCGATCGTGCTACCGCTTGAGCCACATCCCCAGCCCCAACAGAAGATTCTTAATTTGATTCACTCCCATAGTTTTGCTTTTGTTGTCTGTTTTTGCAGTCTGATAATGTTCTTAAAAGAGAATTTTCTTTCAGTTCACCGAAGGGAAGTCATGTATTACCCATATAATTAGTTTTTTTTTTTTTTTTAAAGCACTTTGGTGGTTTGGTTTGGTTTGGTTTGGTTTGGTTTGGGTTTGGGGTACTGGGGGTTGGTACCCAGGGCTTTAATTACTGAGCCACATCCCCAACCATTTTTATCTTTTATTTTGAGACATAGTCTTGCAAAGTTGCTTAGGGCATTGCTAAGTTCCTGAGACAGGTCTTGCACTTGTGATCCTCCTGCCTCAGACTCCAGAGTCACTGGGATTATAAGTGTGTACCACTGGCCCTAGCAGCACTTTGGTACTGATAAGAAAATCCAAGTCAATCAAAGAAAAGCTTTAACAGTTCCTCCTTTGTTCATGATAAATGGCAAATTGTACAAAGATTCAAATTAGGAACATATACACTAAATCAGGATTAGTGGAATGGTTTATTTTGTTTTTGTTCTGTTTTCTACTGTAATAAAGAACAAAAGTACATTCACCTTTCACAAAGAAATATTTATAGGATTAAGGGATTTAGAGAATGAATAATAGCTATTAGTATTTTTTTATCTTTAGTGCAATCCATCTCTATTTATTAGAAAAATAAAATTTGGAAAAGATAGTTGTTCTGCCAAATGTATGTATGTTTGGGTGCTGAAACACAAACAAATCGAAACCCTAATATTAGTATCCCTTTTTGCTCTAGCCAAAACCTCACAGTAATGGAGGCTGCTTGTGCTGATACCACAACCCAAAAGACATACTATATATAATAGGCAGCATTTTTTACTCCGTTGAAAACAAACAGTATCCTTAAAAGTTAAGGCACATAGTCGAACAGAATGATTAAAATTGAGATTTCAGGGCTGGGGTTGTGGTAGAGTGCTTGCCTAGCATGTGTGAGGCACTGGGTTCGATTCTCAGCACCACACATAACTAAATAAAAGAAAGGTCCATCAACAACTAAAAAAATGTTTTTTAAAAAATTGAGATTTCATTTTTCTCCAGTGGTGAATAGAAGAGGGAAAACATATTATCTATAATTTAAGGACTTAAAAGTGCTAAGGAATAAACAGTTTTAAAAAATTATTAGTTAAGCTTGATATTAGCATTTTTCCTTTAGATCTCAAAATACCTTTATTGGGGAAAAATAAATAAATTTGATTTAGGTTTTCCAAATGCAATACTCTGGTTTAGCCTTCAAAATCTCTTGTAACTTGGGGAAAAAGTGAATTCTTTTTTTTTTTTTTTAAAGAGAGAGAATGTTAATATTTATTTTTTTTTAGTTTTCAGCAGACACAACATCTTTGATTGTATGTGGTGCTGAGGATCGAACCCGGGCCACACGCATGCCAGGCGAGCACGCTACCGCTTGAGCCACATCCCCAGCCCAAAAAAAGTGAATTATTTTTAAATCTTTTTTTTAGTTGTCAATGGGCCTTTATTTTTATTTATTTGTATGTGCAGTGCTGAGAATCGAACCCAATACCTCACACATGCTAGGCAAGAAGAACTCTATCACTGAGCTACAACCCCAGCCCAGAAAAGTGCATTTTAAAATCAGAGTGTTTCCAATAAAAAACTGTGGAAAGAGAAAAAAAAGCAGATTGTTAAGACTTTTAGAAGATAAATTTACGTTATTTTTCCCTATTAAAATATTGTTCATAGCTGTCTTGGAGACAACATTTAATAGTGAACATAACATAGAAATCCCTTTGAAGTGTTGATATCATGATCCAGTCTAAAAATGTAAGTATCTGCCAGCCATGGTAGCAAATGTCTATAATCCCAGTGGTTTGGGAGGCTGAGGCAAGAGGATCATGAGTTCAAAGCCAACCTCAGCAATTTAGCGAGGCCCTCAGCAACTCAATGAGACCGTTTCTCTATTTAGAGAAATACATACGTATACATATGTATACACATACACACACACACACACACACACACACATATATAAAGGGCTGGGGATATTGCTCAGTGATTAAGCACCCTTAGGTTCATTCCTAGTAGCAAAAAAACAAATTAAAGGGCATGGGGATGTAGCTCAGTGGTAATGTACTCCTGGGTTCAATACCGAGTACCAAAACCAAAACAAAATCATAGAATCAAACCACTCAGGCCACTTGAGGATTATAAATGTATCCTTAAGATGTTCTGCCAGGGACTGGGGCTATGGTTCAGTGGTAGCTCACTTGCCTAGCATGTGGGAGGCATTGGGTTTGATTCTCAGCACCACATAAAAATAAATAAAATAAAGGTCTATCAACAACTTAAAAAATTATTTGAAAAAAAAAAAAAGATGTCCAGGTTACCTTCAGAAGTCATTTAGAAAAAGAAATTGAAAAGTGGCTCTGAAGACAACTCTTTAAGAGACAAGTGATTCATCAACTTGAAATCTCTTTGAAACAGGCAGTGATGGTGAGCTAAAGAATCCGTGTTAAAATACAGTTTAGTTAAGCAGTTCCTGATCAAAGGTCTCATCTGAGGAGGGCCAAAAGGGTTGATGGTGACAGGGCTTTTCTCTTTTTTGCGGGGCAGGGGTCCGGAGGGCGCACCTGCTAATGAGGATTGAACCCAGGGGTGCTTTACCATTGGGCTGCATCCCCAGCCCTTTTTATTTTTTATTTTGAGACAGAGTGTTGCTGAGTTCCTTTGGGCTTCACTAAATTGCTGAGGCTGACTTGGAACTTAATGCTGCCTACCTCAGCCTCCCAAATTGCTGGGATTACAGGCATATACCACTATGCTCAGCTAACAGGGCTTTTCTTGAACATAATCTTTTGCTTTTTTTTTTTCCCCCAGTAGATCCTTGACAATATACATACACAGTTGTTTTCCTATTCCTCCAGCCCCCCCCCCACCACAGTACTGGGGATTGAACCTAGGGATGCTCTTCACTGAGCTATATTCCCAGACCTTTTTATTTTTTGTTTTGAGAGTGTCTTCCTGAGGTTGGCCTTGAATTTGTGATCCTCCTACTTCTGTCTCCCAAGTCCCTGGGATTACAAGAATGTGCCACCACACCCATATTTTTCCTACATTTTTAGACCCTTACGTAGATAACAAAGCTTTATACAGGCAAATGAAGTGGTACCACTTTGAAAAATATGCTTCTGAAAATATAATAAAGAACTCTTATATCAGTGTTTTCCAAAATACAACATAGTAGATCATGATCAGTATTTTTCGTATTGATTCCTTTTAGTTATACATGACAGTAGAATCCATTTTGATATAATTATGTAAGCATGAAACATATCTTATTCTAATTAGGATCCTATTCTTGTGGATATATACAATGGTGGGATTTATTGTGGTGTTTTCATATATGTACATTATCAGTATTTTTTAAAAAATAAAAGAAATTATTGGAGTTCATTGCACAAAATACAGTGTTATTTCAGAATATATTCCAAAATATATTGGAAAATAGAACATTTACTTATATTGTATGTGTGTATTGGATTGCAATGTAAAATTTATTTCTTACTGCATGTCTTAATCAAAAGCATTTCAAAATGTTGCTATTTAGATTATGTATACTTATTTAGAAGGAAGATTTTCTACCCTACTAGTGAAATAGGTAGCAGGAGTTTCTGTCCTGTGCTTAGATGTCATTCAAACATCAGATATACTGAAACTGTTATATTTTGAAAAAATTACTATGTCTTTAATTATAATTAATATCAATTATTATGGAATGGGGAAAACTATATCATATCACTAGATCGTCTGTAACTTGCTGCGGGGAGCTTTTTCAAATATATGTACCACCCACACTTCCCAGTGGAGAATCCTTACCAGTGGGAAGGAACCTGATAGATTGTTTTCTGTATCTCAGGTCTGTTAGGAGAGGGAAATAGAATGGAGACCCACTGTGTTAGTACATCACTGAAGAAATTTTTACAAAGACATTATTAGATCTGATTCTAGATTTCACCATTGTAACAGGCAAAGCTAGATGGTGGGAGACAACAATGGAGACCTGTCCTCATGGCTGTGACTGAGAAGGACTTGCTGCTTTATGATTGCATGCCATGGACAAGAGATGCCTGGGCATCTCCATGCCATAGCTACCCTCTTGTTGCTACAAGGTAAGACTAAAGACCAAAAATAAATAAATAAAAGAAATTCTATTCTAAATCTATTAACAAATTTTAATGTGTGTTCTGTTATCTTAGGTGCCTAAAATAGTATTTAAGAATGTGAGATAGTTGATGTAGACAAAAAAATTTATAACCTATTTATCATTTTGCATCTCCTAGCTCTGAATAAATTGTTCCTGTCACTTTTATTTTTCTTTGCATCTTTTAAATTGTTGAAGCAACTTCCTAACCACTCCCTTCAAAATTTGCTTAGTCACAGAGATAATAGGGTTTTTTCTTTATTTTATTGACTGAATAGAAAACCACTGAAATTGTAGCAGCCTTTTGACTGGGTGATCAAATCATTTAAAACCAAATGTGGTATCATGGATAAACCACAAAATTTAGCCAAAATATTTTCACTTCTCTTTTTAATATAAGAACATATAATTTTGATTCCATCAAATAAACATTGTTTTGACCTAAAGCAACAGAATGTTTTCAGCATACCATACATGGGGAGTTGGAAGAGAATAGGAATAAAGAAATTTAGATTTGGAGGGCAGAATGTCTTAAAGTATATAACTGTAAAACAAGAAAACATTCGAATTCAATTTTACTTGGGTTTAAAAAAGAATCAGATGTTAAACTGGGGATGCAACTCAGTAGTAAAGTAAATTGTTTGCTTAGCCTTGTGGTGAGGCCCTGGGTTCAATCCCCAGCACTGCCAAGAAAAGAAGTGGGGGGGGGGGGAGAATCAGGTGTTGAAATAACTACACAAAGAGCCCCACAGAAAACTAATGTTGAAAGAGCAAAATGACAGAACTATCTGGTATAATATCCATAGGGAACAAAGGATTTCCTGCTTTGAACAGATAAAGATCCATGTAAGAAAGAGTATTCTTTGCATTAAAAGACTTGTGCTTTATATAGAATCTCCTTCAACTTGCCAAATTCTTTTACATGTATTGTTCTTTTTATAAAAATATTCTCATGTAGCTTTCTAGGAGTATCCTCTGTAATTTAGAGCTGGAGCTCATAGATTGCAGAATAGATAAAGGATCTTTTGAGCCTCAGAATTAGAGGCATGCTTTTCTTAATTTCTTCAAGAAAGAAGAGACCTGCAGAAGATTGAATTTAACCATCAGTTTCTTTGCAGTTTATTTATGCAAACTAAATTATAATCTCATTGAAGCGAGGAACTATTACTTTGTCATTTTAGGACTTCCTAGGATGCTTTGTATATAAAAAGCTACCAATAAATCTAAGTTCTCCTGCTTAAATTGTAGTTATTGTTTTACAGTTACTTTGGGAACATGACAGGAATCCTATAAAAATATATGGATATATTTCAGTAGTTATAATTAGAGCAATTAAGTTCATATTTTCCAGAGATTTAGAACTTGTGACTATGACTGTGTGGAAGAGTCCTGTATTCTAATTCTGATAAAACAAAGAGGGTAACTTTAGGCTTAACATTTTTTTCCCTTTTTTTGTGGTACCTGCGGCCTTGTACACATGCTAGGAAAGTGCTCTCCACTGAACTATATCTCCAGCCTGAGTCATCCAGTAATTCCACTCTTACATTATATACCCAAGAGAAATGAAAACTTATGTCCACATAGAAAATTATACCCAATATTCATATCAGTATTATTCACAATAACCCCAAAATGGAAACACCCCAAATGTCTGTCAACTGATGATAAATGGTATCCAACAAAAACTTTGTTGGATAAACAACATGTGAAAAAAAGTGATATATATGTAACAGAATATTGTTTTGTAATTTAAAAAGTTCTGATATATGCTAAAACATGGATGAACTTTGAAATATGAAGTACCACATATTATACCATTACATTTATATGAAATATTCAGAATATGCAAATCTATGAAGACAGCATATTAGTGGTTACAAGGGTTAAGGTGGCAATATGCATAAGATTTCTTTTGGGGATGATAAAAATTTGCTAAATTAGAATGTGGTGCTGCCATGGCCTCCTGAGTCACTGGGATTATAAGTGTGCACCAACATACCAGGGAAAACTTTTTTTTTTTAATTAAAATTTGAAGAAGTTTGGGCTGGGGTTGTGGCTCAGTGGTAGAGCACTTGCCTAGCATGTGCAAGGCCCTGGGTTTGATCCTCAGCACCAAATAAATAAATAAATAAATAAAATAAAGGTATTGTGTCCAACTACAACTAGAAAATAAATATTTTTTTAAAAAAGTGAAAGCATGTTGGGAAGTCAGAATAGTGGGCCCATTTTAAAAAGTATCAAAGAGGTTAAAGACAGGTATATGATGCAGGTGGAAAACTATATTGGTTTCATAAGTGCTGTGGATTTTGTAGTATTTTCCTATAAGCTTTCTTTGACTGGAACAGAAAAAGTGCTCAAAGAAAGTGAATATTTTACAGTGTAGGGGCTGGGGTTCTGGCTCAGCGGTAGAGTGCTTGCCTAGCATGTGCGAGGAGGCACTGGGTTCAATCCTCAGCATCACATAAAAATAAATAAATAAAATAAAGGTATTGTGTCCAACTACAACTAAAAAAAAATATTTTAAAAAATATTTTACAGTGTAGAAAATTGAGTTAGTGTGTGCACATGCTAGTATGGAGCAAAGACTGCTAAAATGCCTTTGCATGAGCTCATCTGGCCTCCCCCAAAGAGGGGCCTTTTGGCAATGTATCCTAACCAACTCTGCTCAATGAGAGTTCAGCAGCTGGTTTGAATTAGATTTCCTGCCCAAAATATTTCATAATCAAATCTGTGGGGAAAAAAATTCTCCTAAACTATTTTATAATTTTGACTTGGGATATCCAATCAAACTAAATGTGTAGGATACCCTTGTCACCCACACCTGGCCCCAGAGAACACTTCTGACTCATACTGAAGTATGATCTGCTATTGTCTCAAGGAAAAGCACATGTATGATTGAGTAGTGAGCTGAACTTGATGTTTTCCTCATGGATCACCATTTTTTAATTGGGAAGACCTACTAACTGCCATACTATGGTTAGTCAGGCTTGGGTATTTGTCATACACTTATTCTAAAATGACCAAAATGAGACTGTCATGAAAAATAGTGATAATATTTGTTGCCAATGATAACATTCTAGCTTTCAAAAAAAATTAGAATTCTGGAATTACTTTGTATACTTCATATAAATAAAATGGTGTAGTATTTGTCTTTGTGACTCACTCATTTCATTTAACATAATGTCTTGAAGTTCATCCAGGTGACAGATTTCACTGAATAATATTTAAGCTGAATAATATTCCACTGTTTAGAATAGAGCATAGAATTTTTCTTTATTCATTCTTCTGTTTATACATAGTTCCTTTTGCAGGCACTTGAGCCACATCCCCAGAACTTTTTATTTTTTATTTTAAAACTGGGTCTCACTAGGTTGCTTAGGGCCTTGCCTTGCTAAATTGCTGAGGCTGGCCTTGAACATATAATCCTCCTGCTTTAGCCTCCCACTTCACTAGGATTATAGGCGTGTGCCACTGTGGTGTTTTCTTTATGAAAGACAGTATCTTGTCTTCAGATGTCAATCATTAGGGGTCATTTTAGGAGAAAATGGAAATAGTATCTACTATCTTGCTTTGAAATATACTTATTAGAAAACTGTTGCTGGCTTTTATAAATTTCTGTTTATCAATGAGCATAAATCCCTGACATTCTTTCTATAATGCACTAATTAGTTTTGATCTCTGCTCCATTTTGGTCCTAGGTTGGTTCATTCTGGCTCTGGATGTCGATCACCTTCCCTTGGATCTGACCTTACATTTGCCACCAGGACAGGCTCTCGGCAGGGCATTGAGATGCATCTCTTCAGGGTGGAGACACATCGGGATCTTTCCACTTGGACCAGGATACTGGTACAGGGTTGCCATGCTGCTGCTGAACTGATCAAGGAAATCTCTTTAGGTAGAGATGCTGACTTTTTTGTTTTTTGTCTTTTTAAATTTTTTTTTTTTTTTTACCAATATTGAACCAAGAGTTGCTCTACCACTGAACTACATCCCCAGTATTTTTTATTTTGAGACAGAGACTCACTAAATTGCAGAGACTGGCCTGGAATTTTCAATTCTCCTGCCTCAGCCTCCAAGTCAGTGGGATTACTTACATATGCCACTATACCCAGTATGATACTGACACTTAACCACTGAGCCACATCCCCAGCCCTTTTTGTATTTTTATTTAGAGACAGGGTCTCACTGAGTTGCTTAGGTCCTCACTAAATTGTGGAGGCTGACTTTGAACTCATGATCCTCCTGCCTCAGCCTCCTGGGCCTCTGGGATTTCAGAGGTACACCACTTCGCCCAGCAGGATACTGACATTTTGTTTCTAATAGTAACTAAATGGAACTGTTAGGCTTCATTTTAAAGTACAACTATTGTTATATGTGCCAAACTATATGATGTACTAAAATGTGGCAGTTAAAAATGGAGATGATTAGAAAGAAACCTGGTGTCTGTGTATCACAAGCAGTTTTTCGAGACCTGGCATATGGCTTTAAGCACATTCGTTACACCCTGTGTTCAAATGGCATTTTTATTGCCAATCATTTTAATCCACATTTGGTAGTTTAAGGACTCACTAAGTACTAGATGCATTGACTTTCTAGTTAAGAAGTTTGGAATCTAAGTTATCAATAAACACTCTTACTATGAGCATCTGGCAAACTCATGACTATAGAAAAAAAAATAAAAGATTTGTCCAGGAATAGTGGCACATACCTATAATCCCAGTTACTCAGTAGGCTAAAACAGGAGGATTGCAAGTCTGAGGCCAAACTCAGCCATTCAGCAAGGCCCTAATCAACTTAGCAAGACCTTGTTTCAAAATAAAAAATAAAAGCCAGACACAGTGATGCGTGATAAGTCAGGAAGATCACAAGTTCAAAGACAGCCTCAGCAATTTAGCAAGGCTCTAAGCAACTTACTGAGACCACATCTCAACATTTAAAATAAAAAATAAATAAAGGGCTGAGGATGTGGCTCAGAGGTTCAGTGCCCTGAGTTTAATACTCAGTGCAAAAATAAAATTAAATAAAAAGAAATAGGGCTAGGGATTTCACTCATTGATAAAGCACCTCTGGGTTCAATCACCAATACCAAAATAATTAAACAAAAAAGACTCCATGGTAGAGTTCCCCTGTGTTCAATCTCTAGTACTGGCAATAATAATAATAAAGAACTTGGAATAGAAATTTCTCTTCAAAAGGTTGAAAGTATGTGCTCAACACTTACTCAAATTAAGCATTTAAAGAAAATAAAATTGTTGTCCCTTTCCATTGTAAAAGTGCCCTCTTGTGGCCATTCATTATCAGTCTCTATGAATTTGGGGTACTGTTTCATATAAACTACTGTAACTGTATGCATACATATAAATGTCCCAGATTGCTTTTCATTTAACAAGAACTAGAGTCAATATGACTGGGGCTTGAACAGGTCTTTTCTGACTCTAAGACCAGTACTTTAAGCCCATGCATTTCCCTCTCATGATGATGTGTTCTTATGACTATATTAGATACCTAATGGACATACAGGGTCAGTCTTTCTCACTTCTTTAGATCAGCAAATATTTACTGAGTATAGAAGTAAAAATAAATAAGAACTGGGCACAGAGGCACACACCTATAATCCCAGCAACTGGGAAGCCTGAGTCAGGAGGATCCCAAGTTCAAGGCTAACTTTGGCAACTTAGAAAGAATTTGTGATTCTCCTGCCTCAGACCCCCAAGTCACTGGGATTACAGACATGCACCATAACGTCCACCTCTTACTTCCTCAGGACCACACATACCTACATAGTTTGCAAAAGCTTGCCATCTTTCATGAAAAGATTCTTAACCAGGTGCAGTGCTGTAATCTCAGAGACTCTAGAGACTGAGGCAGTGGGATCACAAGTTTACAAGTTTGAAGTCAGCATGGGCAACTTAGTAAGACCCTGTCTGAAAATTTTAAAAATGTCTAGGGATATATAGCCCAGTGGTAAAGCACCTCTGAGTTTAATCCTTAGTACCAAGAAGGGAAGGGAGGAGGAAGGAAGGAAAGAAAAGATTCTTTCTCCCTTTTGAAAATCCTTTTCCACTTGACAACTAAAGAAGAGACTGTGTATACACACACACACACACACACACATATATATATATATATATATTTTTTTTTTTTTTCCTTTTTCTGGTCTTTGACAGGCTGCACATTAAATGGCCAAGAGGTAAGATTCACTGTCCACTATGAAAATGGGTTCACTATATCAAGGGAAAATGGAGGCTCCAGCAGCATATTATACCGCTACCCATTTGAACGTCTGAAAATGTCTGCTGATGATGGCATCAGAAATCTCTATTTGGATTTTGGTGGTCCTGAGGGAGAACTGGTAAGAGTGTTGATGAAAAATATGTATATACTAATAGGTCTTCTCCTTCTTTCTCAATGCTTCTTGTATATAAAATTATGGCCTGACATTCCATTTGGAGCAGGAAATTATTCTTCAGTTTTCAAGATAGCATTGGGTTTGGGTTTTTTGTTTGTTTCTTTGTTTTTGGTACTAGAGATTTAACCCAGAGTGCTTTACCCCCAGCTCTTTTATTTTTTTATTTTATTGTATTTTTTTATTTTTTATTTTTTTGGTACCAGGGTTTGAACCCAGGGGCACTTAACCACTAAACCACATCCCCAGCCCTTTTTTTTATTTTTTATTTTGAGACAGGATCTTGCTAAGTTGCTGAGGCTGGTCTTAACTTGAGATCTTCCTGACTCAGACTCCTAAGTTGCTGGGATTACAAAGCTGGGTTTGGCTCTTTGTAGTTTTCTTTTCCTGTTAGAAAATCATTCTCTTTTTAAAAAGTTTTGTTTAAATGTGAAAAAGAAAAGAAACATCCGTTTTAAGAAAGAGGTCTTTGTCATGATACGTAATTCTATCCATTACTGTAATTGTCAGTTTGTTGGTATAAAAGCTAAGTAATACCTTTATTATTTGTGTGTGTGTGGTGCTGGGTCAAACCCAGAACTTCATGCATGCTAGGTAAACATGAAGGTAAGTGCTCTACCACTGAGCTACATTCCTAGCCTAAGAATTGAGTAATAAAGTGGCTCAGTTGCTACAGAAGCCTGCTAATCAGGAAAAAAAGAAACTTCTCAGCCAGATGTGGTAGCGTGGCGCACACCTGTAATATCAGCCAGTCGCTAGGGAGGCTGAGGCAGGAGGATCGCGAGTTCAAAGCCAGCCTCAGCAAAAGCAAGGTGCCAAACAACTCAGCGAGACCCTCTCTCTAAATAGAATACAAAATAGGGTTGGGGATGTGGCTTTGTGGCCAAGTGCCCCTGAGTTCAATCCCTTGTACCCTGTCCCCCACTCCCCTTAAAAAAAGAAGAAAGAAACTTCTTCACACAACTATCATCTTTCTGGATCTCTCTGTGCTTTAAAGGACAGGAAATCATGATTTCTCTTAAAGGGACTACTAGAAAGATATGTCAGGTATACTTCAGAAATCATAAATTTTGATAAAGTAGTAAAGTAATGCCTTTTTTGTCAAGAGCTAGTAGTGTAAGTCTTCTTATACACGAAATTTTATGTCCCCTGACACAGTCACGGTAGGTGGTGAGTTTGGAAACATTGAATCTGGAAATTTTAGAACTTAGAGAGATCTTAAAGATAATGTGTTTCTACTTCCAAATGAAAAACCATGGCTGGAAATCTTAAATGATGAACCCAAGACTATAACTCAGTGGAAGAGCATATGCTTACCACACACATGGCTATGGGTTTAATTCCCAGCATTTTTTTAGGTGGGGGGGGTTATTGGGGATTGAACCCAGAGGCGCTTTACTATTGAGCCATATCCCCAGCCCTTTTTTTTTTGAGAGAGAGAGAGAGAGAATTTTTTAATATTTATTTTTTAGTTATTGGAGGACACAACATCTTTGGTTTTTTTGGTATGTGGTGCTGAGGATCGAACCTGGGCCGCACGCATGCCAGGCGAGCGCGCTACTGCTTGAGCCACATCCCCAGCCCTCCCCAGCCCTTTTTATTTTTTATTTTGAGACAAGGTCTCACTAAGTTGCTAAGACTAGTCTTCAACCTGTGATCCTCCTATCCCAGCCTCCAGAGTCACTGGGATTATAGCCATGCTCCACTGTGCCCAGTCCCATTACTTTAAAAAAAAAAAAGTGGACATGTGGTTCAGGCCTATAATCCTAGCTACTCAATAAGCTGAAGAAGAAGAATTGCAAATTCAAGGCCAGCCTGGGAAATTTTAGCAATATCCTGCTTCAAAATAAAAAAGTTCCCAAGAGTTTCCATTAAAGTGGCACATTCTTTAAGTTTCTTTTATTTTGTGTTTGTGTGTGTGTGTTGTGTGTGCACACATGCTTGAACGTGCCAGATATCACTGAGCAATATCCTAGACCTTTTAAGTTCTTTTTAAAAACTAGAACATGACACGGAGGTTGTGCACACCTGTAATCCTAGCAACTCAGGAGGCTGAGGCAGAGGAGGATCACAAGTTTAAGGCTAGCCTTGACAATTTAGCAAGAACCTATTCTCAAAAATATTTTTAAAAGTCTAGGGATATAATTGGGTGGCAAAGCATCCCTGGGTTAATCTCCAGTGCCAGGGTCAGTGAATGGGTGGGGAGTAGAATGACAAGAATATCACATCTAAATTTGTTTATTCTTTTTCTATGAAAAAAGAATATATATATATATTCTTTTTTAATAGAAATAATGATATATATGATATATGATAATTAATGTCCTTTATGATATATGATAATTAATGTCCTTTCTCCATAGACGGTGGACCTGCACTCTTGTCCAAAGCCGATTGTTTTTGTGTTGCACACTTTCTTGTCGGCCAAAGTCACTCGCATGGGACTGCTTGTATGAGCAGCCAAAAGTCAGAAAAGAACCCTGTCACAAGAAATATTTCCACCTAAAAAAAAAAAAAAAAGAAGAAGAAGAAGAAAAAAAAAAGCACAAAAAGAAAGCTCTTTGCTCTCTCCTCCAGCACAGTGCCTTCCCAAGGACCTGCAAATCACTGCGGAACCATAACTGGGTTTAAAGAAGAGCCTACTTTGGTCAGAAATTCAAGGACTCTAATAAGCTCCAAAATGAAGCTATTGACATCTCATTTTATAATTTGGTTTAAAAGTAATCAGGTTTATTTTTCCTGTTAAAAATGGGTGGCTCTTTTCTTTTTTGGACATAATCAAACAACCAAGAGCTGCAGGGTGTGTGTGTGTGTGTGTGTGTGTGTGTGTGTTGTGTGTGCGTGTGTTTTTTCTTCCTGTAAAATTTGTTTTAGGCTTAACCTTGGTGTCTCACTTAGGATGGTTATCCCTTCCCAGGTGCTAGAGTACAGTTATTGCTTCCTAGTCATTCCAGATGGTGGATGCTTTATTGTAGTGTATTATCAAAGCCTACTCTTTCAACCTTAAGAAGTCTCTGAGTTGTATCACCAAAGGGTTCTTTCATCTGTGCTGGCTCTTGCTACATCCCATCTGCCCATCACTACTCACCTTATCACCAGCTTTGCCACTCATAAGTGCTACCTTTAGGACTCAGAACTTGCAAATTTGAGTAGCCTTGCCTTGTACTCCTTTTCTGGTGGTGACCAAGTTGAAAAGCAAGTTGGGATACCACTTATTTGGAAGAAAAGTTTTTGCTTGTTTTATTTTTTTCTGATTTTATATTTGGTAGGAGCCAGGGGATGTTATAAGATTTATTTTAAAAGAAAAATCCTCATTTTAAGCTAAGCCATCTTTTATCACTTACCACATGTGCCTTTGGTTAGGGTTAGTGGAACTTTATGAGTCACTATTTAAATAATTGGATATCACTGCCACTCTGGATGTATTATTTTTCCTAGTTTAATGACGTAGTCTTTGAGGTGGACTTTCTTAATGGCATCTTTTCTGGTGAAAGATTTGTTTGAGGAAAATAAATCCAGAAGAACTAGCTTGTTTAAAGAGTAAGCTTTGTTGGTGAAGCCAGTTCTTTAGCACAGCATCATGTCAAGTTGCTTTGGATTGTGTGAGACCATACAGGATTCTGGCCCTCTTTTGTGGCAGCAGAGTGCTATAACACATCCTGTGTAGAGGGCAGGGTGATGAGACAATGGCACAGTTACTTTCATTTTATTGAGTGTTGTCAGGTGTCATCATTAGGACAGAGTAGCTGTAGGACCACTGATTTTTATGGGTCTGAGGAATCATATTCAGCTTACTTTCCCTAATTTTGAAGGGAGTATATATCTCTGAAAACATTTTTAAGTAGTATAATATCTATATAAAATGTCAAGATTAGAACAGTCCCTGAATCTGGAAGAAGAGGAAACTTTGACTTAGATATGCTCTGTGGTCTCTGAACAATGGTCCAGGAATAGTTCTCATTTTCTAGATTTATCCAGAGTGCCACATAGGAATGTGAGCACTATAGAGGGTGAAGGAGGGTGGTACTCCAAATGGGTGGGAAGAAAAAGGAAAGAAAACACAACTTTTCATGCAAAACTTGAGCTGTTTTGTTTGAATGCATACTGACCAATAAGTGGGCCACATGAGAGCAGACATTCTAGCAGATGCTGTAACCCCACTGTCCTCCCTCTGCCCATATAAATAGTTCCTTCTTACCCTATGCTGTGAGATTAACAGTATTTAGAGCTTATGGAGAGATATTTATCCTACCCCCAGCTTCAAGTAGGTGTTGAAGCTCCAAAAATGATTGATCTGATCCACTTAAAACTGGAAATGAAAATATTGACAAGAATATCTTTCAGGAGTGCCCCCCAACACATACCCTGGTACCAGGGATTGCATCTAGGAACATTCTACCACTGAGCTACATCCCCAGCCCTTTTTATTTTGATTTAGGATCTTGCTAAGTTGCTCAGGCTGGACTCGAATTTGTGATCCTCTTGCCTCAGCCTCTGGAATAACAGGGGTTATAGGCATGTGCCACTGTAGTCAGCCCAAAAGCTTTTTGTTTTGAAAATTCAGAAACCTGTGATGGTTCCATCTGAGATATATATGTAATTGACAGGGGGAAAATGTTTTGAAGGTCCATCTCTGATTTCTGGAAGCAAAAGTTCAACAAATAATAAGCTCAGGTAAGAGCTTGGATATTCATGTTATGGTGAGAAGTTGAATGACACATTCACAGATGTCAATAGCAAAACCATCTGGTTGAAGTTTTTGTGTTGATGTGAAAGTCTAAGCCACAGAGATCCGCAGGAAATTTTTGAGCCACCCTGCTCATTACTAATATCAACAAGATCTGTAAAATAGGTGTGGTTAAACATTATAACAAAGCTTTTGGGCAGGAGAGAAAGAGAGGGCATTGTGCATTTCAGCTCGTTTTGCTCAAGTTTAAACTGCCACACAGGACCAGGCGTAGTAGCACACATCTGTAATCCCAGTGACTTGGGAGGCTAAGGCAAGAGGATCTTGAGTTGAAGTCCAGCCTCAGCAACTTGATGAGATCCTTCTCAAAATTAAAATAATAATAATAATAATAATAATAATAATATCAATGACTGGGGATGTAGCTCGGTGATAAAACACCGCTGGGTTCAATCTCTAGTAATGGAAGGGGGGGAAATTTTATATATATATAAATATATATAGACACACACAAAAACCTGTCATAGCATTGAGGCTCACAGAGTTTTTAATAATAATTTCAGTTTTATATAAAATGAAAATATATTTTGTCCACTAACAAGCCCCAAGAGCAAGAGCCCTTAGCTGCTTGTTTTACATTTTGACAGCTTTCTTGTCATAGTCAATAGAGGTTGTTTCCATTAAGTGTGTTGTGGGAATTTCAAATCATAAATGAAGTGCTTTTTATGATGAAACACCTTGATATATATGAATTTTGTATTTAGATGCCAAAATATGGCAAGTTATTTTCAAATATCTAAAAATGGGCATTTTTATATTCCACCTCTTTATAGAACCATTAAAAATTTCATCTTTTTCATTGTGAATTCAGAAAATTATTGAGGATGTTGAGGGCTCTCGTGTAGAATAGAAAGGAAACTGCAGAGTGATGTGGCCCCCAAGACTTGGGACTTAGGCATCTTCTCCACATTCCACACAGATGACTATACACAGCCAGTTTGTGTATAAAACATCTTCCTCCTCTTTCCCTGAAACTTCTTTCTTTCCATAAAAAGAAAGGGAACAAAATCAATAAAATAAAGTCTCCATTTTTCTCTTTAAAAACATTAAGTCCTTTCCTGAAGTGATTAAACAGACCTTACCTGGAAATTAGTATCTAATATTTTATATGAAGTGATGCAAAATGTGAATTTATAAAGTATTTTTTAGATAGTTGTGACTGTAAACTCACCTAGTAGAGTTTCAAATTAAATATTGGGACATGGGTAGGCAATCAAAAATATTATTTAAATTTCATTCACCTGTATGTTTAGTAATTTTTAGACTAGGAAAAGTCTGATAGCGTGTGTGTTTATCACCTGCAATTCTCATAAACTGTGTTACTGAAAATTATTTATGGCAAGAGAGACTGAATTATTTCTTACTTTTTTGTAAGTTAAAAAAAAACAAAAAAACTATTCAACAGATGGCTAACATTGTTACTGATTGCTTTCCTAACTTATCCTCCTAAGAGGAATGGTAACAAAGCTTTTCTTCATCTGATCAAATGTATTTAGCTGATAAACCAAAATTTATTCTTTAAATGAAAAATTTAGGCTGTGTGGAATCTGGACAAGATTATGTTTCTACCAGAAACAAGTTTCACTGTAAATGATTTTTGATGGACAAATGTGTGAGAAAAGTTTTTGATGGATTTTTTTTTTTAATTTTGTGAGAAACTGAAGGTCTTCTTGTTTAATTTATATGCATATGGATATATTTTCAAAACCATGGAAGAATCTGTCCATGTTTTTTAATGCAAATTACCCACAAAGCTGCTATGCAAATTGTACTAAAAGCCCTACCTACTTAAATAGTTAAACCTTTTTGAAACTTTCAGGGAAGACCTTAGACTCAAGCACTTTTTTGTATCTTATCTTGGACACATACTTTAAACTATGTTCTTTTTTTCACTGGTTGTAAGCTATTGATTGTACATAATATTTAAACTATCCAAATATCCAGCATACATTTCCATGTGGCTGCCATCTGCTATAGATGCCATGGATGAAATGGCTGGTTAGATAACCAAAGTTATTTTTTTTTTTCCATACCTAATGAAGAAGTAAAATGCCAGATCTCTCTGTTCTCAAAGCAAATTGCTTGGCTCAGATCTTAATATCTGTGTAATAAAAAGAGACATTTAAATTTGGGATTCTGCATAAAAGTCAAGTTCAGTTTGACCAAAGTCACATTCATTATTTTTATGTATCTCTATCAGGTATAATATTACTAGTGTCAGGTGGTATTATATTGTATATTGAAATCCCAGTTAAATTTTGGTTGTTATTGTGTCTTTTCTCCCTGCCTCTGCTGCACTAAAAAGGAGAGAAATCTGTCATCTACCACCATTCTCTTTGTGCCCTTTATTTTAATTGTTTCAATCTAGAATAATTTTGTCTTTTCACATATTGTCTTTAAAAGCTGATAGCAATAGTCTGCCCTCCCTCCTGTTCCTTTATCATTTATTGTGTTGGGTACATACACATTTATAAATTTGTGATGACAGTTCTAAAGTCATTATGCTTTATATCAGGATTCTGTGTTTTAGGTTAGTATAGTTATTCCTATGTTTTTTTTGTTTTGTTTTGTTTTTAATTTTTTTAGTTTTCGGCGGACACAACATCTTTATTTGTATGTGGTGCCGAGGATCGAACCCGGGCTGCACACATGCCAGGCGAGCGTGCTACCGCTTGAGCCACATCCCCAGCCCTATTCCTATGTTTTAATTATGTTGAGTGGAATTTATTTTACTGCTTTAGGTGACTAACCCTTTTTTAAAAAAAAGAACAGAAACATCTGGTAGATCAGTGATATAAATTTGTTCTATTAAACGATAGAATTTCAAGTTAAGAATAAGGTACAATAAATAGACACATAGAGCACATCTGTTTTCTTGTCTCTTTGACACTGGCTAAATTGCCAATTAGAAAAATGTTTGTTAGGTATTATCTTGCAAGATTTTTTTTGTGTGTGGGGATTGGACTCAAGGGCATTATGAACACTGTACTACATCCCAGTCCCTTTTTTTGTTTGTTGGCTTTGAAACAGGGTCTTGCTAAGTTGCTGAGGCTGCCCTTGTACTTGTGATCCTTTTGCCTCAGCCTTCTTAGTTGCTGGGATTACAGGCATGCACAACCATGCCCAGCTAGATATTAACTGACAAGAATTTTTCAACAAGGTTGTTGTTGTTGTTTTGGTGCTGGGGGTTGAACTCAGTGACTTGAGCATGTTAAGCATAAGCTCTGCCACTGAACTTTACCTTTAGCCCTTCTTTTACTTCAATATATAAACTTGAGCATATCTCTTGCCACCTATATTCTTCTTTCCCACTTCAGGTGACTAAACCAGAGCATATTCTAGTTTTAGATGTGAATTCATATCCAAATATAATGCATAAGTATACCTTTTGCAAATTATCGCATGCTATCCAATGACCATTTGACTATATTCAACAGAAGTCTACCATATGAACTTTAATCCTTGAATTGCAATCTAATTGAATTGAAATTGAATAGATTGGTTATTGAGACCCTGTCTCAAAATAAAATTTTAAAAAGGGCTGGAGATGTAGCTCAGTAGTAAAGCACCCATAAGTTCCATGTCCAGTACCAAAAAAATAAATAAAATAGATTGGTTGAAACTAAAAAATGTAACATAGAAATGATACTTACATATTTTAAGACTAGGAATTTTAAGACTAGGTTAGAATTCCAAATTCTGAGTCCTCCAAGTTCCTTTCTCAGTTTTGCAGTAGTCTCGTCTCCATAGCCATTGATACAACACTGGTTTTGAGGCTCTTTTTATTTTTTAAGTTTGAGACAGGGTTTCAAAGAGTTGTTTAGGGCCTCGATAATTTTTTGAAGCTGGCCTCAAACTTGTGATCCTCCTGCTTCAGTTTCCCAAGTTGCTGGGATTATAGGCATGCACTTTCACACCCAGCTTGAGTCCCTCTTTATCCCAGTCATTCTATACACACACATACACACACACACACACACCCTTGGAATGATTATTCTGTCACTTCTTTCAGAGTGATAGAAGACTCTTACATATACACAAAAGGTTCTTTGGGAACTTGGAGAGTTTGAAACTGTGAATAATAATGACATATTCATATATTCTTTCACCTGACAAGTATTTATTAATGTACAGTTCTGTACCAACCATTTTGAAGAGTCCAAAAGAAACTTCCTCCCTTCAAATAGTATATAATCCATTATTTCTCAGTCACCTCATTACCATCGCTTTATCAATCAGTAGCTAAGTGATTAACCACTTCATATTTTTACCACAATAGATCCACTGCTCTGCTTATCTGGAAGACATTTGAAGGGATGTTCTGGCTTTGACCCATACCAACACAAAAGGATCCTAGCATATTAAAGTAGATTGGTCTTCATGCTTAATTTTATAAAATTAGACTTTAGTTTGGGAGAGAGAATAGTGTACAGTATCCCTAATAAAAATAAGCCCTATTGCTGAAAGCGGATCAATGGGAAAGGTTTAACTGTAAACTGCACAACTAATTGTGTATTTCTTCAACTTTTATTTTTAAATTTTGCTGACCCATTTATTTCCACATTTAAATCATTTCAGCATCTCATTTGCTAAAAAGTTCCACACATATGATATATGGAGTGTTTCTCCATTATTAATCCATTGAATTAAAGAAATTTAAAGCTTAACAGAAGGAAATAAAAGAAGTTGATTGATTTTCCATAATTTTCATAGAGTAACAGTACCTTTCTATCCATAAGCTCAGCTTTTAAGGCAATATATCCTTACTTGTGCCCAGAAAGTACCTGAGCTATCTGTGAGAGAATGTCATAGGGCCTCTTTCCCTTTGGTTCTGAAGTGTCCTGGAGTTGTACACAAAAATTAGGTCATGCCTTCTGAGTCTCAGTCTTGTCTTTAAACCTGCGCTTTGAAAATCAGGTGCTTATGACTGTTTTATTGAAACTAGCCCATAAGTATTGTGTAAATGTCTGTTCCTCTTAGGTTGGAAGAACTTCTGTCTCAGTCCTGTTAGAGTGGGTGTCAGTTATCTTTTCACCTTTGTGAATTCATAGAATTTGAAGAAGAGGAAATTAAATTTGCATAATCACCAGGCTCCATGATCTCACCTATAGCAATCTGTCCTGATCATAAGAACTAGTTTCAGAATTTTTTTCAATACAGGATGTCAGTGTTACGTTTACAGTTTGTTGGATGAGTTCATCATTAGAAGACCTTTATGCCCAAAGAATGTTTCCTTTTTGGTACCAGATCTGAGGTCTTTTAGAAGATAATGTGGGAGCCATGTGTGGTGATGCATGCCTGTAATCCCAGAAACTCTGGAGGCTGAGCTAGGAGGACTTCAAGTTCAAGGCCAGCCTCAGCAACTTAGCAAGTCCCTGAGTAAATTAGTGGCACCCTTTCTCAAAATAAAAAATAAAAAAAGACTGGGGATGTAGCTCAGTAGTGCCCTGGGTTCAATCCCCAGTTAAAATAATAATAATAATAATAATGTGGGAAAGCACTACCTATTAAGGCTTATTTTGGTTAATCTCTGCAAATTCTGATAATATCCACTTGTATGTATTCTTTCCCACACTACTTTCATTTTTGATAAACGCAAAGACTTAGAAAGCTAGAATAATACTTAAACAGATAATTAGAAGTATGTGATTTTGTTTTTTTCTTCTTTTTAGAATACCATACTTAAGACTTCTACTTTATAAGTCTTGTTTAAAATCTAACTCTTGAATCTTCTGTCTACCAAATTTTAAAAAAATGGCATAAAACAGGGCAGTATTTGTGTTCTTAATTAAAAAAAAAAAAGAGCTTTATGTATACTCTATATAGATGCATAGACAACACTTGCCCTTGAGTTGCACATCAACACATAGCATTGTATATTACAATGAAAATTTGTAACTTAAGGGTATTATATATATATATATATATATATATATAAAAATACATATATACCTTTATAATCTTTATACTGTAAATAAAAAATTACTTTTAGACTTGTATTTTACTTGTATTTTTTTTTTCATTTTTAAAAATCAGTTTAAAACTCAGGAAAATTTCAAAACCAGTACAACTTTTCAATCCCCTTCACCCAAATTTCCCAGTTAACATTTTTCATACTTGTTCCATTCCTATCTTATCTTTTCCTTACATGATACTTTCTTTTTTCTACATTTTATTTTTATGCAGTGCTGAGGGTCAAACCCAGGTCCTCACTTGTGCAAAGCAAATGCTTTCCCACTGAACTACAAGCCCAGCCCATATGACACTCTTACCATTCTTAAATTGTGTAGTGTGTATTTCCAAAATTCAAGGAGCCCTCCCTGCTACTATCCAGCCCTCCTAATCAAGAAATCAACATTGATACTACACTACCACCAACTCCATAGACCCCGTTCAGATAATGCCAATCACAGGAACAATTCCTCTCCCTTTACTTTCAGTCCAGGATTCTATCCAGTACCACATGCTGCTTTTTGGTTGTCATGTCTCATCAGTATCTTCAGTCTGGAACGGTTCCTCAGTTTTTTTTCTGAATTCTCAAGTGCCTGAGCATCTGAAAGAACATAGATCTTTTATTCTGCAGACTGACCCTCCACCTGGCTCATCTAATATTACCTATCAGATCAGATCCTGCGTATTTGGAGGAGCCATGAAAGTGAGACCATGTTCTCCCCAGAGTCTCATCTACTGCTCATTTTGATGTGCACATTGTCCTAGGTTTGACCAGTGGGGAGCCCTTTGAAAACTTTTGTCCTTTTGATATGTCCCTGTTATTTTTTTTTAACTTTTGGCACAACAAAGATTCGTTTTGTATTTTCCACTTGGCCATTCTTCAGTGGGGCCCTGAGGCTTTCCTAATGTATGGTGATAAAAAGAAACCAAGATCTGGGTGTTTGGTATGCTTGTTACTACAGAGTAAGGAAAATGTGCAAGGTTGTGTATACAAATATACCTATATCTATTTCTAGATCATATTTAGAACCCATGGGTTCACACTGACATTTCTGATTTTTCTCAGTGTAACTAATAACCCAACCACCAAGGCCACTGCTTTCCACTCCCTTTTTACTCCCTTCTCCCCACCCACTTCCTCATCCATCACCTTCATCTTGCTTACATACCACTGTCTGCCTTCTCAGCTGCATTAGGTACTGTTGTCCCCTCTCTTTATCAATACTTTCTCCAGTTTTTTTTAATCTGTTTTTTTATTATTAGTTGTTCAAAACATTACAAAGCTCTTGACATATCATATTTCATACATTTGATTCAAGCAGATTATGAACTCCCATTTTTACCCCGTATACATATTGCAGATTCATATCTGTTCCACATCCACTTTTTTACATACTTTCTTTTTTTACATACTTTATCCACTGTTGAGAGCCACTGGCATTTTGCCAGAAGTAATGGTTGAGAGGTGAGGCATTAAGATGATGCTGGATTGAAGCAGGCTGTGTATTCAATTGTATATAGACCCCTGCTGTCCCCCTCAGGCGCCCGCTACTTTGGAGTTCTCCCCGGGATTCCTGGGGAGTTCGGGTTGGTTGGTGAAGTTCCGGTCGAGGGAGTTTGGGGTGTGTGTGATGTGCCTGGAAGGGCCGCGTGGGTGGCGTTAGCGCGAGTTCGGAAATAAAGTTTGTTCCTGCTTGAGTGGCTCCTGATTTGTGCCCACCCGGACTGCGGCACTCCACCCCTTGAGACATTCCTCCCTGACTTTCAAGACACTCCTCTGGCTGTCCTAGCTCCAGCTCTTTCTGAGCTGCTTTTGCAGGCTTGTGGTCTCAAGTCTTGGTCAACAAACCTTAAAGCTCTCTGTTCTAGGCTTTCCTCATTATACTCCTTAGAAGCTCCCACAGCTTCCATTCCCACCTATGCTCAGATAACTCCAGATGTGAGGTCTCACCCCTCATCCAGGGATCTTTCAAAGGCACCTCAAACTCACGATCTTCCTCACTTCCTGACACCCAAATCTATATTGTCCATTATTCCCCAACTCAGTAGCATCAGCAGTCCAGGTGCTGAAGCCAGAAGTCATCTTTTCCTCTCCTGCCCCTCCTCATATCCCATATCCAACTCACTTCCAAAACCTGTCATTCTGTTTGCTTCTCTCTATAGCCCTCCACATGCCCCTCCCTCCTTCTCTTCTGTACTACAACAATTTCACACTGCAATAGCCATCCCATTCCTGCAATCTGTTTTCTATAACAGGGCTAAAATGGAAAAAAAGGGTTGGGCATGGTGGCACTCACCTGTAATCCCAGTGACTCAGGAGGCTGAGGTAAGAGGATCCTGAGTTCAAAGCCAGCCTCAGCAATTTAGTGAGGGCCTAAGCAACTCAGCAAGATCCCGTCTCTAAACAAAATATTATAAAAGAGCTGGGGATGTGATTAAGTGGTAAAGGCCCCCTGGGTATCAAAAATAAATAAATAAATAAATAAATAAATGATAAAATGGGGAAAAAAACCCAAAAGCACAAAAACAAAGATACAATCCAAAATCTTTACCACAGCCAATGTCCTTGCCCTGGTTCACCTCCCCAAGAACTGTTCATGGTACACCTTGACTCTCCCCTCTAGCTATCAGTATCTTCCAGTTTCTCATGGAGCCTTTGCACAGGCTGTTTTACCAGCCTAGAATGTATTTTCCTTTATCCCTCAAACTTCCACTTAAGTTGGACCCTTCCCTGAGCCCTATTTTGAGTAAAATACCTGTTAGAGTTCACATAATACATGTGCCTTTACACATCAGCCTCAACACGCTTATTACCTTCTGATAAACTACCTTTCTCAGACTGCAGACTCCCCTAGAACTGTTGTGATCATTGCTGTAGCCCTAGATACTAGCAAAGAACTCAGCACACAGTAGTTCCCTACTAAATAATAAACAAACGTAAGCGAACGATCTGCGGTGCTGAATGGAGTTCACCTAGGTAAAGCCCCAGAATCGGAGATTAAAGAAAATCATCTTCCGATGGAGAAAAGTAGGATTAGTACTTTAAAAGACAATAGAACCACTTTAGACAATCACTGGGATGATAACAGTTATCAGAAACCGAGCCTCCAAAAGGTGTGTGGCTGTCTGTACATAGCTAGGTCATACATTTCCCCTAAGTCAGACAGGGTAGGTATTAATTACCATGCCCTATTAAACATAGGAAACATCAGTTCTGGTAAATTACTTTTACTGTGAGAATAAAAGTGTCCTACTGGTGCTATTTTTGGAAAGGGGTCGCGGATTTCCGGGTTCTACCCCGGCCCCGCCCCTCATCCAGGTCCCGCCAGGCCCACCCCCTTACTCTCTTGCCCCGCCCCGGCTCTCGTCACGCCCCTGCCTGAGCCCTGCAGCCGGTCCAACGCGGGAGCTGTGCCTGCAGTGCCGGCCGTGGCCGCTTGGAGGCAGCCGCGCGGCTCTGGCCCGACCGCTCTGGGCCGCAAGGCTCGCTAGCCCTCCGACTAGGCTCCGGCTGAGAGCGACCGCCCTCCTTGCGCCCAGCGCCGACCCGCCCGGCTCCCCGCGCCGAACCCAGCACCTCGGCTCCCCGGGGTCGGACCGAGGTCGCAAGCAGCGCCGCGGGGTGTGGGGCGGACCCAGGAGATGAAATGACAACGTCAACCCTCCAGGTACCTCGGCGCGGCCCGGCCGGCTGCGGAGGCCGAAGGCGGTGCGGCGGGGCCTGCGGGCCTTGGAGCCGGCAGGCGGGCGACCACCTCCGAGCCCCGGCCTCGCTGTCCAGCCTGACCACCGCGGCCAGTCTCCGCCGTTTCTCTTTTCACGCGCTGGGAGCAGAGGGAGGTCTCCACATCCCAGTCCCCGGCCCTTGCCCTGCTGGCGGAGCCGGGAAGCCACTACTTGCAGCCGGCGCCCCAAACCGCCGCTGTACAACTGCTCTTGGGCCCCGGAGCGCCTCCTTGGCAAGCTCGGCCCGTCCCTTCTGGTCGTTCAGGGAGCGATGCTCACTCCCTTCTGCCCTAGGCCCTGACAGCTCCTCGGCCCTCTGCGAACAAGCCACGTTCCTTTCCATGTTGCGACCCCCTCTTCTCACCCAGAGACCCTTCATTCGTTTTCTGGATCTTACAAGGTGGTGCTGGGTCGCGCCTCTTGGATGAATAATGGGCCCATCCTCCTGGTGCTGTCAGAAAACACAAACACATGCTCAGGCCTTAGACCAAGTGTGAATCCGGCTCTGCCACGCACTAGCATGTGACCTTGGGCTATGCTTTTGATCTTGGAATCTCTGATTTGCACATCTGTAAAATGGGGCAGTGTAGCATCGGGTTGTTGTGAGATGCCTCTAGGTTTAATAATTCAAGTAAAGCATTTTTACTGTACGTTTGGTACATTGTAAGTGCTCAGTAAGCAATGGCAGAAAAACACTTGGGAGAATCAGACAAGACTTAATGGAAATAGGGGCATTTGGCCAGAGCATCAAAGGATAAGTAGCATTCAGATAGTTGGTGGTGGAGGAGGGATGGTTACCCTAGGTGGAGAGATGGGCATGGAATAAATTGGGGTACTGGGCTAGGAATTAGATGGAGTCCAAAGCCAGAACCCACCATTGACCAGCAGAAACTCAAGAGGTTGCTACAGGGATCTATATAACTCATCTCAAATGCAATACGGTTTACTCATCTAAAGATATCACCCAACATTTCTAGTAAAATCACAGTTGTGCAACCATCACCCCTCACTTTTTAGAACATTTTCATCACTCCAGAAAGAATCCCCATGCCTTCTGCCTCTCTCAAGCAACTATTAATCCACTCTCTTTCTCTATAGATTTGCCAACTCTGGGCATTTTATCTAAATGGAATCATACAACATGTGGCTGTCTTCTTTGGCTTAACATAATGCCATAGGCTTTTACATTTTTTAAATTGCTGGAAAAAAAATAATTTGATGACATATGAAAATAATTTGAAATTCAAATTTCAGAGCCTATAAATAAAGTTTTATTGGAACACATCCCAGTTCATTCGTTTACATATTATCATGGCTGCTTTTATGCCACAAAGGCAGAGTTGAGTAGTTGAGTAGAGATTGTATGGCTGGCAAATTCTAAATATTTGCTCTTTGATTCTTTACAGAAAAAGTTTTCCTGCTCTTCTGTTAGCACACCTTTGTCACTTTTCTCCTTCATTCTCATTCTTTGCCATACCTGTTACTAGAGATGTGGCAGGACTGGCAGCTTTGTCACCTTACCCTCCTGTTATGCAAAGCTGTTTTTCATTAAAACTACATCCTGAATGTGAAAAACAGTATTGGTTGCCTGAGAAATCTAATGCACTTCAGTGCATTAATAAGAATGTCTACAAGGACATCTGGGATGAGTGCTCTCCCACCCCATGGAGCAGAGCATATCTTGAGCTTTTTCAGAGCCCCCACTTCAAAAGGACAGACCCAAGCAAGGAGTAGTACAGAGTGAAAAAAAATACTAGGAACTGAGGTGTTTGTTCTGGAGAAGCCACCAGGACAGGAATATTGTTTCCATGCCTTATCTAAAGGAGAATAGACAGGTAGAATTTGTGTGTTGGCTGATTGTGCATAAAGGCTCAGGACTCCTAGGCATCCTCTGTAAGTAGGCAGAGGAAGGAGCAAAGCCAACATTCTTCACTTTTCATGTCTTTTCAGTCTAGTAAGGACCCTCTACATCCTCCTACTGGCCCATCTCATCTTGCTTCTCTCAGCCAAAAAGAAAAGTCAGTTTTCTTAAACTATCTGAAGTTGACACCTGGAAAGGGATGTCTGGCCTGTTTTACCTGTCAGTCTTGTAGAGCTCTCTTTGTGCCTTTCTTTCAGAGACTTCTTACTGAAGTAGTTTTCTGACTACAACCCTGCCAGAGTTGGTCAAGGATTATTGTTTGCTGTGGCTGGAACTAGGTCTGCAGTGGAATCTGCCTGCCTAATTACTAGAGCTGTACCAGATAAAGATTTCTGGTCAGGCTTGTGGGTTGGGGAAGCTGTGGTTTCTAAAACTGGATGTGTAGGTGCTTCCAGTTTCCAGTTCAGCCAATCCAGGGATGTGCAAGACTTAGATGACTCCCAAAGACATTGCTCACAGAGATCTTAGAAGTTCCAAAGGAGAGTTTCCCTCAACTAGCAGCACATGTCATCTCTGGGGTAAGCAAGCATTTTCCTTCCTGAAGCTACTGGTATTATAATGTAGCCATGTGGCCAAGCATCCCCTCCCCAGTGTCATCCTCAAACAGTTCAAGAAAACTGTCTTCTCTTTTCAGCTGAGGGAAGCAAGCTGAGGTGGGCCAGTAGAAGGATGTAGAGGTGTCCATAAGCCTTTCTCTTGGTTTAGTGAAAGACTTTGCTCCCTGGCTGGATCTTTTGAACCCCAAGGCCCAGTGCAGTGTCTGACCTCCTTGTTGAGCAACACAGCAACCAATTGCTTCTAGTGTTTCCCCTCACTTAGTCTGTTTTTAGTTTGTTGGGTTTTTTTTTTGGGGGGGGGTGGGTACTGGGGATTGAACTAGGGGCACTCGACCACTGAGCCACCTTCCCAGCCCTATTTTGTATTTTATTTAGAGACAGGGTCTCACTGAGTTGCTTAGTGCCTCTCCATTGCTGAGGCTGAGGCTGGCTTTGAACTCGCGATTCTCCTGCCTCAGCCTCCCAAGCTGCTGGGATTACAGGTGTGCACTACCATGCCCTGGCTTAGTCTGGTTTTCTTTCTTGAAACCCAAGCCCCAGCTATTAGGTCAGCTTTTCACTTGCTGCGCTCCAGAGAACTGGACAAGATATTATTTTGAATTACCATGAACTCCCTGTGAAGAGGGACATTGTTTTGTTGTTGTTGTTTTGGCAGTACCAGAGATCACACCCAGGAGCTCCCGCATGCTAGGCAAGCAAGCACTCCACCACTGTTACATCTCCAGCCAAGACCCGATTTGTCTTTTCTTCCTTTAAGGACTAAGTTGATGTGAGAAAAACAGGGCAATATAATGGACTGCAATCAATAAATCCACAGATCTGGCACTATCTCTCCTCATATCTCATTCTGCTGCTTGTGACCCCAGGGGCTTTCTGGATCTCCTGGGAAACAGCTATTTGCCTTGTTTTTCCAGAAAGCCATTGATCTGGTGACAAAAGCCACAGAAGAGGATAAAGCCAAGAACTACGAGGAGGCACTCAGGCTCTACCAGCATGCTGTGGAGTACTTCCTCCACGCTATCAAGTGTGAGTCACATCAGGGCGCGCTCTAGCGTCAGAGCTCCTTGAGTGCAGGTTAGGCACACAAAGCTCATGGGGGCCATTCTCTGCTTCCCCTTTTGCAGATGAGGCACACAGTGACAAGGCCAAGGAGAGCATTCGAGCCAAGTGCGTGCAGTACCTAGACCGGGCAGAGAAGCTGAAGGATTATTTACGAAACAAAGAGAAACACGGCAAGAAGCCAGTCAAAGAGAATCAAAGTGAGGGCAAGGGGTGAGTGTGCTGGAGCGCACTGCTGGCCCTGGTGGAACGGAGCCCCCATGTGCATGTGCCTTCTTCATGTGTCACTGTTATTCTTGGTGCTAATGCTGCCTTGGACTGCATTGGCATCCTTCTCATGGGGATTTCCACTCATAATAATAATGCCAACAGCTGCTTTCATTAAGACTTTGCAGAATACTATCTGTTATGTTATTGGATCTGTATAGAAAAGTCATACAGAGATAAGGGGCATGGCATGGGGTGATGAGCCTTGGCCTTTGCAGCTCAACTCTCAGGATAGAACCCTGGCTTTTCCACTGTCTTGCCATGTGATCTTAACTTCTATGCCTCTAGTCTCATTTCATAAGGGGAAAATGATAGAACTCTGCTTCTAGTATTGCCATAGGAGCAGAGGAGATGATATGGGTAAAGCCTTAGATGGGAGTTTGGTGCATAGTAAGCTGCTATTATCACAGAGAACCATTATCTTCATCTGACAGGTCAAGCAGCAAAAAATGGAGAGGCTGAAATTAGCTAAGGTCACTGAGCTAGAACATGATTAGAATCTGGACCCCCCCATCCAAGGCCTCTGTTTCTCCTCTCACAGCGAGTGGTCTCTCTGTGGCCTCTCATCTCATGTCTGGGGTTCACCTACCATGGTAATGCCAGTTAGCTGAGCACAAATGCAGTGGTGTCTGGAGTCAGGCAAGGGCCCTTGGGGCTACAGAGTCATGGGGTAGGAAATAGGTGACTGTGTCAGCTACCTCATCAGAAGTGAGATGCTCTCCTGGGCAGAGAGTCCATGCCTGTGGTCTGGTTCCCCAGAACCAGAAGCATACCAAAGAAGAACCAGGAGGCTAAGGGTCTCCAAAAAGGATAGAAGAGTTGTAAATGACAGATAAATGATAGGATAGGAGCTGGCTCTTGGGATGAAAGCATATTCATCTTTTGATTTAAACTTTACCTCCTTTCTGTCCTTGGAACTGTTTTGGTTTCACTGCCATGACCAAGGTCCAAGTCCATAGGAAAGGGACCTGAAAGCTACATTGGCTTGACTGACTGCTCTTTAAATTTAACCAAAGCACATTTCCCTTACCAACCCTCAGGAGAGGCCAGATATCTCTATCCTTATTCCCTTAATGAAGAAATGAGGCTGGGTTATTGGAGTGTTTCTTGTAGGACAGCCTGTGGCCCTGGTGTTTCAAGGTCCCTTACTGGTGTTGAGGAAGAGGCATTCCTTACCCACAGCACTGTGGCCTCACTCTGAGGGTCTCCCTGCTCCCAGGGTAAAGAGCCAGCTTGTGATCTTCTGTTTCCTTTCCTAGCAGTGATAGTGACAGTGAAGGGGATAATCCAGAGAAAAAGAAATTGCAAGAACAACTGATGGGTAAGAGGCCTGAAGCCTTGTGGCAATGGGAGGGAATGTGGTGTGGGTCTGCTGTTGGCTTGGCTCATGCTCATAGGCTAGACTCTGGTTCTGCTTCCCTGTGCAGGTGCTGTTGTGATGGAGAAGCCCAACATACGATGGAATGACGTGGCTGGGCTAGAGGGGGCCAAGGAGGCTCTCAAAGAAGCTGTCATTTTGCCAATTAAATTCCCACACTTGTTCACAGGTAAAGAGTTGAGCCACCTGAAGCTTGGGTGTAAAAATATCAGGCTTCTGAGGGAGCCAGCGTGGGGCTTCCCCTCTGAAATGTCCTGGAACAGATGGTATCTGCTTCCTTAGCCCAAGAGGACCAGGCCTGGACTTGCCATGTGCTCTATAAGGAGAAGCCCCAAGGCCTGCTCACCAGTTATCTACTGTGGCATCAAAAACAACCATGTGACTAAAACTTTAGTTGACTCATTTTACTAGGTAGTCAGAGTCAGGAACCAGTGCCAGCCAGTGTCATTTGGCAAGAACAATGAGGATCATTAACAAGAGCTAGAGCATTGGGGGGTGTAGCTCAGTGATAGAGCATAAGCATGGGCGAGGCCCTGGTTCAATCCCTAGCCTCACAAAAAACAAAAACAGAAAACAAGGGCTAGGCTTCCAGTAGGTGCTTAATTCCTTAGACACCTTTGTTCCTGGAATCATTTGTTTTCTAGGACCTTCTTACTGACTGTGTCTAAAGGCCCTCTGTTCTTTTTGTTTGTTTGTCTGTTCTGTTCCCATTCCCCAATCAGGAGGCTTACTTCAGTTATTCTCTATTGCAGGCAAGCGTACCCCTTGGCGAGGGATACTGCTTTTTGGACCCCCTGGCACAGGGAAATCCTATCTGGCCAAGGCTGTGGCAACAGAGGCCAACAACTCTACCTTCTTCTCTGTGTCCTCCTCAGATTTGATGTCTAAGTGGTTGGGGGAGAGTGAGAAGTAAGTCAGCCATCGGGCTGCACTCTCCTGGCAGCCCTGGCAGCTGTGCTGGTCCAGCTTCTCTGCCCCTTGGAGTCACCTCCCGGAGGAGCTGCTGTTTAATATTCAGGGAGAATAGCCAGGAGAGTGAAATCTTGCCCACTTATTGGTTGGGACACCATCCTGTAGGTAACTAGAAGAGAACTTGGAAGCAATGAAGGACTCAAGAAGCAAAGGGAATGGAACTAACCATGATGAGTATAGCTGACCATCCCCTGTCAGAGGATTTAGCTTATTCCCCACACTGATTCCTATTTTGCAGATGATGAAACTGAGGCTTAGGGCAAGAGAAATGACTTGTCCTAAATTCAGAGCTAATGCTTGGGCCCCAGGGTCTGAAGCTGGTGTTGAGGCATGTTCTTCTTTGGTGCACTACTGCCAAAGAATTTGTCACCACCATTCTCCCTGACATCAATTTTCAGTATCCTCACAGGAAAGGCAGGAGAAGTGGCAACTGGAACCCTGGGTGGGCATGTCCGGGAGCATGCAGATCCTAACCCCTTTTTTACCCTTACAGGCTAGTCAAGAATCTCTTTGAGCTAGCCAGGCAACACAAGCCCTCCATCATCTTCATCGATGAGGTGGATTCTCTCTGTGGGTCCCGGAATGAAAATGAGAGCGAGGCTGCCCGAAGGATCAAAACAGAGTTCTTGGTCCAAATGCAGGGTGCGTACCAGTCTGGTTGCCCCTGGGTCATCACTCCACCTAAAATCAGTTCAGGACTCCAGATTTAGCTGTAGCTGGGTGATTGTCCTTGGAGTGGAGGAAAAGTGCTCCTTGGCATCCTATCCTCAGTCCTCAAATGAGTTTTCATCATAGAGAAGCTGTTGAGACCTATGCCACCCCGCTACTCTGCCCTTCCTGTGGCAGATGGTGCTTTAGGTCTCTTAATCGCAGCAAAGCCAGATCAGAGTGCTTTAGTTTCAACTGGGACCCTGCCAGTGGTGGCACAGGGATGGCTTCAGGTGATGATTCACAAAGCCCCTGAGATCTGTCCCAATGGTTCTGACTGACCCTTGCAGGTGTCTTCATAGTCCACATCTCTGTCTCCCTTTCTCCACAGGTGTGGGGAATAACAATGATGGGACTCTGGTTCTTGGTGCCACAAACATCCCCTGGGTGTTGGATTCAGCTATTAGAAGGAGGTGAGTCTCCCACAGGACAGGCTTGGGGCTAACATCTTCCTCAGGCCAATGGTAGCCTATAAGCGTGCCCTTATCTTATTCTCCGGTGTCCTCCCTGGTCTGATTGGAGCAGAGCCCTTATGAAGCCAGCTTCTTGTGGGCTATGGTGCCAGCATTGCTGGCCTAAAAGTGCATCTCTTTTGCTGTCCATGCTGTGCCTTCTTCTAACTCCATTCTGTGATCAGCTTTCATTTCTTGCTCTGTACTTGGCTCTTTAGGTTTGAAAAGCGCATTTATATCCCACTGCCAGAAGAAGCTGCCCGTGCCCAGATGTTCCGATTGCATCTTGGGAGCACTCCACACAACCTCACAGATGCCAACATCCATGAGCTGGCCCGGAAGACAGAAGGCTACTCAGGTGCAGACATCAGCATCATTGTGAGGGACTCCCTTATGCAGCCCGTCAGGAAAGTGCAGTCAGCAACACACTTCAAGAAGGTGAGTGGTGGCTGGGTAACTCAGGAAGCCAAGGCAGGGGGATTGCAAGTTTGAGGCCAGAACTGGCAACTTAGTGAGACCCTGTCTCAAAGAATAAAAAGGATTGGGAATGTAGCTCAGAGGTAGAGCATCCCTGGGTTCAATCCCCAGTACCACACACACACACACACAAAATCAGAAGGTGAGTGGCCAGCAATGGCTTAGGCAGTATCTCCAAGGGGTATCTGTTTTTTTCCCTGCTCCCTGGCTGCTCAGAGGACACACTTTCAATTTCTTGGAGAACTAAGGGAAAGAGTTGGGTGTGCCCACTAGTTCCAGGAGTCAGGACTACACCTGCCCTCCCATCTCTGAAGCCCTTGCCTAAGCATGTCTGTCTCTTGATTGTGAGGAGCCAAAAGATGGGCCACTGTTTCCACAGCTCTGCAGCCTCCCCAAGATGCACTGTGTTGTGTGAGAGTAGATGCCAAGTAAATGCTTGACAGTTACTAATTATAAAGAGGACCCATGCTCTCCTTCAACAGATCTTTGTTGAGTGTCTGCTGTGGGTCCTGTGTGCCTGACGGTCCTAGGTGCTGAGAAGTCATTAGTGATCATAACAGATGAAACTCCCTTCTCTCTAGTAGCCTTCATTCATGTGGGGGTAGACCTTAATAAACAAGATAAAAGTCAGTTCCTTAACAGGTAATGAGGAAGAGCTAAGCAGGGTAAGGTAGACCAGGAGTACCAGAGGTTTAGGATGCAGGCAGGTTGCACTATTAAAGGCCAGGCAACAGGTGGGTGACATTTGAATCAAGAATTGAAGGTGAGGGAAAGAGCCTTAGGATATTTGAGGGGATGTTTTGCTAGGGCATATACTTAAGTGGGAAAAAAACATTTTTTATGTATTTTTTTTAAATTTATATATGACAGCAGAATGCATTACAATTCTTATTACGTATATAGAGCACAATTTTTCATATTTCTGGTTGTATACATAGTATATTCACACCAATTCATACACGTACTTTGGATAGTAATGATCATCACATTGCACCATCGTTAATTACCCCATGCCCCCTCCCTTCTCCTCCAACCCCTCTGCCCTATCTAGAGTTCGTCTATTCCTCCCATGCTCCTGCTCCCTATCTTACTATGAATCAGCCTCCTTATATCAAAGAAAACATTTGGCATTGGGTTTTTTGGGATTGGCTATCTTCACTTAGCATTATGGAAAAAAAAAATTTTATTGCTACTGCATTTTTGATGAAATTTAGTGGCACTAATAAGGAAGGTGAGACGTTTGGGGCTATTATTTGAGAATCTGGAGGTCAGTGGCTGGCAGAGCATGCTGTCATCAGGACTCTGAAATCAGACTGAGCCACTTTGACCACTCAGTACAGGAGCTTTTTTGTTTGTTTACAGTGCTGATGATTGAACCCAGAGACGCTTTCCACTGAGCTACATTCTCAGCCATTTTGTGTGTGTATATGTGTGTGTGTGTGTGTGTGTGTATGTGCGCCAAAGATTGAACCCAAGGGTACTTAACCACTGAGCCACATCCCCAGCCCTTTTTTATATTTTTATTTAGAGAGAGGGTCTCACTGAGTTGCTAAGGGCCTCGCTAAGTTGCTGAGGCTGAGTTTGAACTTGCAATCCTCCTGCCTCAGCCTCCCAAGCCACTGTGATTACAGGCATGTGCCATCATAACCAGCTAGCCCTTTTTTGGAGGGTGTGGGGGGGTACTGGGGATTGAATGCAGGGGCACTTAACCACTGAGCTACATCTCCAGCCCTATTTTATATTTTATTTAGAGACAGGGTCTCACTGATTTGCTTAGTACCTCACTTTTTCTGAGGCTGGCTTTGAACTCGTGATCCTCCTGTCTCAGCCTCCTGAGTCACTGGGATTACAAGCTTTTGCCACCATGTTCGGCCCAGTTAGCCCTTTATATTCTTTGATTTTGAGATAGGGTTTCACTAAGTTGCTCAGGCTGACCTAGAACTTGAGATCTTCCTGCCTCAGCCTCCTGAGTAGCTGGAATTACAGGCATGTGGCCACTCTACCCTGCTAGCCTAGGAGTTTTTGTTTGGTTTGGTACCAGAGATTGAACCCAGAGGTGCTTAACCATTTAGCCACATCCCCAGCACTTTTTATTTTGAGACAGGGTGTCACTAAGATGCTTACTAAATTGCTGAGACTGGCTTTGAACTCAATCCTCTTGCCTCAGACTCCCAAGTTGTGGGATTACAGGCATACCCCATCATGACCAGCCAGCCCAGGAATTCTGAAGGAGAATTCTTGTGATCGTGATGACCTAGAAAACCATCCATTCCCTTTCTTTAGGACATCTTTAGAAATCTGAGGTGTTCTACTATCCCTTAACAGTGAAGAACAGCTATACCAGCCTGTCAAACTCCTGCTTGGTTTCAGGTCTGTGGTCCTTCCCGCACCAACCCTAGCATTGTGATTGATGACCTCCTGACCCCATGCTCTCCAGGGGACCCAGGGGCCATAGAGATGACTTGGATGGATGTTCCTAGTGACAAACTCTTAGAGCCTGTGGTTTGCATGGTAAGTAAACAGCTGGGAGAGGGGACTCTATAGAGCCCAGAAAATTAGGGGTCTGGGTCCAAGAAGAAAAATGAACTTCTTTCCTTCCATAGCCTGAGCTATCATGGCTCCTCTGAAACGGTGACCTTTGTAGCTCTGGGTTGCTGAGGATCTTGCTGTGACTCAAGGGGAACAGAGGCTATATATCCTACTAAAGTATATAAAGTATATATAAAGTTTATATACTTTAGTAGAAAGAGTAAAGTTTAGATAATGTAACTGTCATTCCAGAGGTTTGGCTTAATTGGTCCAGAAGAAACCAGAAAAAGTATGTCAGCAAGGTTTCATTTAATGCAGTGGCAGAGGCAGAGGCAGCCTCTCACCCAGGTAGTGTGGCCCTATCCATCTCCTAGTCTTGCCAGTCACAGTGCTCATTCTATCCTGGTGTGATGGGCAAAAAATTAAAAAATGGGAGTTATGATAGGATGGAGCCTTGATTCATTCAGATCAGACCTCTGGAAATGATATGTGCTGCCTCACTATGCTGCCTGTCACAGGCTGATTCTAGTTTAGCAACTGTAGGGAGTTCTGCACTGGGCAATGACCTTGCTACCCTAGATGGCATAGCTGTGCAAGGAGGGAGGCCTAGCATCTGGAGCCTGGCTGCTTCTCAGCAGTATGCTCTTGTCTTTACAGTCGGACATGCTCCGGTCTTTGGCCACCACCCGGCCCACAGTGAATGCAGATGACCTCCTGAAAGTGAAGAAATTCTCAGAGGACTTTGGACAGGAGAGTTAAAAGCTTCTTCACTTGGGTGAAGGTGAAGGTGGGAGGTTGATTGGGGCACATCTACGGTACTCCCTACACTGGTGGCCAGACAGGGCTCCAGGGCTCGTCCTAAAGTCACCACAGTGTCTCCTCTGCTGTCTGGCCGCCAGCCAGGGAGCAGGAAGAAAAGGGCCTCCACAGCAGATGACGCTCCGCTACAGTCTGGCACACAGTGGATACTGGTTCTTCCTAGTTCTCTCTTCTGGATGCTGACCAGTTCCTTTTCCTGCCCCTCCATGTCTTTTTTATTTTTGTTTCCCTAAATTAATGCTGCTTTGATTTATCTTGTTTATAAAGATAAAATCCCCTGGAAGTGTCAAGGAGTGGGAGTAGCCAGGCCCCAGTTACTTTTATGGCCAAGTTTGGCTGAGAACAGACTGATGAAGAGTAAGAAAAGCCATTCCCACCCTCCTAGGTTTGCATCCAGAGCCCTGTGTCTTCCTTGCAAGAGGAGGAGATGGTTTCTGTGAGCACAAAGCTGTTTTGATCAGGAGAGAAGGCAGGTGCATCTTCACTGCTGCCTCCCCACCCCCCCAGGCCCACCCTCCCGAGTGTAAGAACACTGAACCCAGCCACTGCCCTGGGTCCCTGTCCTGGAGATGGTCTAATAAATCCTTTTCCCTTCTTGAGCCACTGGAGTGGTCTCATCTTTGACTTGTCTGGGGCTACCTGAAGGCCACTTTTGCTTCCAATAACATGCTCTCATTTTCTTTGCTTCTTCCTCTCCTCTCCTCAGCAGAGTAGGAAGCAAGCAGGAATGCTGGCCACCTTCTACAGTTCTCAGGTCTGCTCTCCAGTAAGGTGGCTCAGAAGATTGGCTGGGGGTATTTAAGGGACCTGGTCAGCTCTTCTTACTGTCCAGTGTCCAGATCACAGACTGCAAAGTGGGAGGCCTGTGTGTCAGACATAACCTGCAGCTGTTTGGTTTGGTCTGCTGCCAACATTTAAAAATCAAAAATTGACATAAAAATGTAGATTTTTCTGGGTGGTGACACACACCTGTAATACCAGTGACTTGAACTCCTGAGGCCAGAGGATCCCAAGTTCAAGGCCAGTTTTAGCAATGTAGTGAGGTCCTGACTCAAAAATAAAAGGGCTGTGGATGTAGCTCAGTGGTAAAGCACCCATGTGTTCAATCACTAGTACCAAAAAAAAAAAAAAAAAAGGCAGATTTCTGGCTCTGGAGGTAAAACTAGGCCTACATCCCTGGGCAGGGGCTGCCCTGTTTAAAAGGCGTTCCCTTTCCCCACTCATTTATGTTGCCCACCAGGCAGCCAGTGGACTTGGTGACCCCTGAAGTAGACACCAAGGTTCCAAAGCTGGCAGTCCCAGAAATGCTGTGTGATATGGAGCAGACACAGCACTTTCAGCTTCACCCTGACAACCACATGGAAAAGGCCTGTCAGGAAACAGACTGTGAAGGGATGGTCTAGCCATTCTTCCCTCTAAAACTGGTATTATTCATCTATATTTTATTTTATTGGGACTGAATGCAGGCCCTCAAGCATACTAAGCACATTCTCTACCAGTGAGCTATATCCCCAGCCTTAATTCTCTTCTTAAAACCTGTGTGGGAGCAGGCATGATGGCACATGCCTATAATCCCAACAACTTGGGAGGCTGAGGCAGGAGGATCACAAGTTGGGGACCAGCCTCAGCAACTTAGTGAGGCCCTGTCTCAAAATAAAAAAATAAAACAGGCTGGGGATGTGGCACCCCTGGGTTCAATCCCTGATACCCAAAAAGAAAAAAAAAAAAGTTCAAGATTCTAACTGGTACATGTGTGTGGTTTTTGTGGCCAATACCTATCTTGGTGAGAGAAGTTTTCTTTATTGGAAATGCAAGGATTTGTTGATACTGACCATCACAAAGGTATCACCAAAGGGCTGTGACCCTCAGACTACAAGGAAGCATTGTCGTCTAACCGTGGGGCAGTGCTTGGTGGTGATTCTTCTCCAGTTTCACTGCATCTTCAGCCTGTCAGCCTGCTCCAAAGTTAGAGAAAACTATAAGCAAGAGTGGGTTTTTCCTGGGCTTGTCTAAATAATTTACTGGACTCCCTACCACTAAGCTACATGCCCAGCCCTTTTTAGTTTTTGAGATTGTCTCACTAAGTTGTCCAGGCTGGCCTCCAACTTGTGATTTTCTTACCTCCGCCTCCTAACTAGCTAAAATTACAGGCATGTACCTCCGTGCATGTTATTGTGTTTTTGCAGTACTGGGGATTAAACCCAGGACCTCCCACATGCTAGACAAGTGCTCTGACCTGCCATTGACTACACCCCCAGTCCTCATTTGTGTACACTGATTTTGAGGATTTTGTTTTACAAGAACATCTGCTTCAGAGGCTAAGGGTGTAGTTCAGTGGTAGAGCCTGTGCACAGCCTCCAGCAATACAAATAAAAACAAACAAAAAAACTTGAATACCTCAAACCTCAACATAAAAATGAGGTTAGACAATTTACCTAATACTTTTGGAATTCCTTCACCTCTTGACAAAACTCAACAGTTTCGTAAAAATTAAACACTGGTAGTATGATGCTAATTTATTTTTTTCAAAATAAGCATGGTAAACAGCTAAGTACCAATTCTGCTTTCCATTACTAATTATGACAGGAAGGGGCTCGCTCCTTATCAGTTGTCATTCCCACCTCCAGCCCTGTTCCATGGCCTCCACCCAACCAATGAGCCAAGTACCCGCTGTTCAACAGATCTTAGCAGCAAACTTTTCCCTAACTTTGTTAAAGGTGGCAGGTAAAAGACCTGAGCTGGGTACAGTGGTGCACGCCTATAATCCCACTTACTTCAGAGGTTGAGGCAAGAAGACTGGGAGTTTGAGCCCAGCTTGAGCAAGGCAACAAGATGCCATCTTAAAAAAAGAGAGAAAGAAAGGTGGAGACCTAAACTATCTGAACCTGTTAAAATGTGTGGATACGTATTTACATTAATAATGTCATTAAACACTTTCTTGAATTGGGACCACTCTGTCCTGTGTTTTACTTTTATAAGCAACTGGTATCCAAGGCAAACAAGGACTCTCCAAGTCAGACACATACAAGCCCTTTGTAAAAAGAACTCAGAGAAACTCAGAAAAATGCTTTATCTGCATTTTTTTAAACTTTTTGTTTTATAGGTGTAGATGGACAGAATGCCTTTATTAGTTTATTTTTATGCGGTGCTGAGGGTTGAACCCAGTGCCTCACGAATACTAGGCAAGTGCTCTGCCACTGAGTTACAGCCTCAGCCCCCTTACCTGCATTTTAAAACACAGCTTTCTAATATTTGGGAACTGTGTTACTATGAAATCTTGGCTTTGGAAGTAGGTTATACAGGTCTTATGATATAACTGTTGAGAATGGTTATGTACTTGCCCCTCTTCTCTCCATACAAAAATGTCAGGAAACATCCATTTCAGGGGGGTTATTTTTCTCAAATTGTAGCAATATTTTGTCCAAACCTGACTGGAATAAACATTTCTAAGATTCTCCTCTAACTCAGTTCAATATGCTCTGGAAGTCCACTGTTTTCTTTCATATCAGGACCAATACCAAGTTGAAGGCAAATAAGATATTCCCAGCTCAAATTCAGGTATTTGCATTTAGTCTTTCCAGATCCTCAGCCCCAGCAGGAAAGCTTCAGTCGTTCACCTCCATCCAGTGGATGTTTGTAAATGTCCTGCTGTCCATTTTGTCAATGAACAGGCAGCCTTGCAAGTGGTCCATCTCATGCTGGATGATGCGGGCTGTCCACCCTCCTGCCTGCCACTCCACCTGTTCTCCTCTTGGATCCATTCCTGTAAAGAAAGTTACATGCTGATCCAGGTGAGGTGAGGACATGCTTAACTGCATCATTCTCAACCTCCTTGTGCTGTTCCCTGCCCCCTGCCCTGTTTGCTCCTATTTACAAGAGGCAACATAAGTAAGCAAATATAGACAGCAACCCCTACCCATCCTAGAGAAGATGCCTCAATTCTGCCCATTCCCAAGTATACCTAGTTCCCCCTCTAATAATAAGGTTGTGGGGCTCAATATGAGGCGGACAATGAGACATTCTTTCGCTAAGATGCCCTCCTTTCTTCTCACTTGTCAAGTGTTGCTTCCTATCAAAAGGTATGTTAGCCTGGTACAGTAGAAAAAAAGAGACACCTTCTGACCCTCTTGGCCGAAGAGATTTGCTCAAGAATAACAGTCATCCCAACCCCTTCAGAGAACCATTCTACAAAACATCTATGGTATGACAGAGGCGGATGGTTTACTGCCCTGGGCTTGGCAACGCTGGGTTCCACTTCTCCAAACCCATTTTGACAGATACAGTGGGGCAGGAGAGAGAGAGAGGGAACGAATGTGGGGTGTGGGCAAGGAGGGAGAGAGAGAAGCAGGGGAGGAGACAGGAAAAGAGAATTAAATCCAGGCTGGACGAGCAACTAACTGCGGAATTAGGGCACCTCCCAACCCGTGTCCCGAGGGAGCCCTGACCTGACAGGAGCCTCCTTCCCCACCAGTCCGTCACTCCCGAGTCCCTTGTGCTCCCGGGTCCTGCTTTGCTCCCAAGGGAGGCTCTGCAGACGAACTATAAACAAGTCTGCACACTCCCTGGAGCTTCGCAGAGACCGTTCCGTGGACTCCGGTGCCGCCGCCTCCACTGTCAGGGCGAGAGCGCAGTTACCCAGCCGCCCCGGCCCGGCCGCCCGCACCTGAGATCTGCACAGCCTGGAAGCGGGGAACGCAGGCCAGGAAGCCGGAGACGCTCTCGCAGCCCTCGGGAAAGGTGACAACACTGCTATCCAGCACCCGCAGACGAGGGTTCACGAGCACGCGCAGCGGAAAAGGCTCCATCTGGCGGAGCGCGCGCAGGCGCGGCGCGCAGGCGCGGAAGAGCGCCTCGGGGAACTCCAGGGCCAGCACCTGCAGCGGCACCCCCAGCTGCGGCGCGCTCAGGCCTACGCATCGCCGGCGCCGCATCACCTGCACCAGCCGCTCCACCAGCCGCTGCAGCTCCGGGGTCTCCAGTTGCGCCGGCTCCACCCGGGCCGCTACCGCCCGCAGCACCGGGTCCCCGATCTGGCAAACGTGCAAGTACGGCGGCTGCGGCGCTCCTAACAACAGACGTCTCACGTAGTGCCAGTAGGAGCGCTGGCGCGCCGGGCCCTCCAGGCCGTCCACGGCCGCTGTGGAGCTGCAGGCCCGGGTGCCACCCGCTCCAGCCCCGCACAGCCGGCCGGTCCCTGGGCAGCCACGCGCCCGCAGCGTTCCTAACAGCGGGAGCGTGTTCAACAGCCGACCCATGGCGCGCACCAGCAGGAACCCGCTCCCCCGGCCGTTTCCCCCGCCCCGCTGCCGCCAGGGACGCCGGGAAGTGTAGTTGCCGCGTACCTTGGGAGAGACCATCAGCGAGAGGACCAGCAGCCAGGTCGTGACTATCGTCCAGCTTTATTGTTAAATTCCACCCACGTACAGGAGTGACTGGGAAGTACCCTCTTTGTCCCCGTGAACAACCTCGCAGCCCGTCCCTGGCGACGCAGCCCTGACCGACAGCGACTCTATGCCCCGAGTTGCTGGAACTTCTGATCCCACGCACCACAAGCTGCTCCCCATCCTGGGCGACTTCATCCTGGGCGACTTGAACACCGGCTAAGACCCCGTATTAGGCGCCTCGGCCAGCTACGCACCCCCCTCCCTCAGCTTCCCCTGCGGCGACTCCACTGTCTCCATCTCCTCTGGCCCACCAGCGTGGCACGCTGCAGCAGCAGACCCCAGAATCGGCTCCTCAGCAGGAGGCTGCGGTGCAGAATCTGTGAGCTTGGATGCTAGCTCCTTGTCATCTAGAGAGAAGACCACCTCTCTCTTAGGCAGGATAAAGGCGAGAGGCTCCTGGATAAGGATGATGTCCACATGCCCAAGGTTTCCATACTTGGAAAGCTGAGTGGGTGGAATGCCTGCCCCAGATGGTAGGGAAAGGGAAATGGAAAAAAACGTTATTAATAAAATCAAATACAGAAGTCACAGGGAAAAAAAATACTAAAGAGTAAGAAACACACACCAATTACTTTTTTTTTTTTTTTTCCTTTTTGGTACCAGAGATTGAACCCAGAGCTGCTTTACCACTGAACTACATTGCAGCCCTTTTGTATTCAGAGACAAGTTCTTCTAAGTTGCTGGGGCTGGCTTTGGACTTGATCCTCCTGCCTCAATCTCCTGAATCTCTGGAATTAGAGGGATGGGACATTAAGCCTGGCTCAAAATTACATATTTCAATACAGCAAAGACCATCTTTGTGATGTGGGACAAGAAACTATACTGTAAAGCAAGACCACAATGGTAATTTGGAATAGCATAGGGAACAGTGGATGGAGCCAGAGCAAAAAGATTACTTAGCACAGATTCCTGGGACAGACCCAGGAATTAGGGCAAAGATGGAGGGCAGCCACTCTTAGCCTGTGTGATCACTAACTTACTACCCTTTGGGGAGTTGTGCCTCCCTCACCCCCAGCTCCACCAGGATGAGGATGAAAGCAAGTGAGGAGAAAGCAAACTGGGGAAAAAAATATTTTTAAAATCCCTCCTCTCTGGGGCTGGCCACATAATGCTTGCCTAGGATGCTTGAGACCCTGGGTTCAGTCTCCAGAACGACCCTCAAAAAAATCATAAATAATAATAAAAACCCTTCTCTAATGCTGGGTGTCGTGTTTACACCTATAATTCCTCAGCAACTTGGTGAAATCCTATTTCAAGAATGGGCTGGGGCATAGCTTGGTGGTAGAATACGCCTGGGTTCAATCCCCAGTACCACAGAAACAAAGCAAAAAACCCTTCTCTGGGGCTGGGGATGTAGCTCAATGGTAGAGGACTTGCGGGCAAACAGAAGGACTCAGGTTTGATCTCTAACACTACAAAAATAAACTGGGACAGAAATAAACAGAATACAAGTTGCCTGGGGCTAAGGATATGATTGAGGAGGAACTAAAAGTCAGCACAAATTATCTTTTTTGAGGTGTTGGAGATGTTATAAAATTGTATGGCGTGACTATTGTACATATTTGTATATTTACTAAAAAACAAATTACATACCTGTAAAAGTTTTTTAAAAAATCCTTTCTCTTACCTAAAGTCTGTGCTAGCTGAGCTGGTGGGAAAAGGACTTGAAGACAACGATTTAAATAAGGAACAAGGTCTTCCAGGAAGACAGTGCAAAATTGAACGAAGAGCTCTTGTTCTCCACTGCTGAAGGCAGCCTCTTCTGCGCGATGGAAGGCCAGGATTATTTTAGTTACCTAAAAGACAAGAATACCATCAATCACTGGCACAGTGCATGAAATGGAGCACAAATGTGCAGCCTTCAGGTTTTCTTTCTTTTTCTTCTTTTTTGTGGTGCTGAGGATTGAACCCAGCGCCTTGTGCATTCGAGGCAAGCACTCTACCAACTGAGCTGTATCCCCAGCTCAACCTTCAGGTTTTCATTGCAAACAATACTATCTTGTTTAAACTCAGAACTGTGGCCAATCTTTGCAATTGTCATCTTCCTAATGTATTTCTTACCCAACTTGTTTCATTACTGGTGTAGTTTCCAGTTCTAGTGGAAGAGTCATGAAATTATACAGAGAATACATGGTTTTTGATATCCTTGGTGGCTGGACCAGGTCTGTGATGGATCCAAGAAAATGAAGCAGTTGACTTTGAATTAATCAAAAGGGAGATTATCCTGGATGAGTATGACTTAATCAAATGAACTTTTTTTTTAAAATTTGTTCTTTTCAGTTATACACGAGAGATGAACCTTTTAAAACAATATACCTAAAAGAAGAGACTAAAGTAGGAGAGATGCTCTCCTGCTGGCCTTAAAAAAACAGCCATAGTCAGGAGTGGTAGCACATTCCTGTAATCCCAGCAGTTTAGAAAGCTGAAGCAGGAGGATCATGAATTCAAAGCCAGCCTCAGCAACTTGGTGAGCCCCTGAGCAATATTTTATTTAGACCCTGCCTCTAAATAAAATATAAAAAAGGGCTGGGGATGTGGCTCAGTGGCTAAGTGCCCCTGGGTTCAATCCATGGTACCAAAAAAAAAAAAAAAAAAAAAGGAAGAAACACCTACACTATGAGCTGTCTGTCTGTGGAGGGGACAGCCCTCCACATAGTTGAGGATCTCAGTCGAAAAACTTTTGTTAACTGTCAGGAATGAAAACTGCCAACCTGAATGAGCCTGAAAGGAAGTCCTGAGCTACCACAGCCTAGACAGCTTAACTACAACTTGGTGAGACCCTGAACAGGACCCAGGGATACTACGACTGGCAATAATAGACATACTATTATAAGCTGCTAAATTTGTGGAAATTTGTTATATAGCAGTAGAAAACTAATATATTGCTGAATCATGATCTCAGGTGAACCACTTCATGAATGGTGATGGTTCCAGTTCCCACAAAACAGAAGCTTCTCAACTAGAAAAACTTTCAAAACTACACAACCTCTCCAAGGACACCACTTTCATATGAAACTGGTTTATCACAAAAGTCAGGCCATCTGTTACCAAAGGCAGCCCAGGATAGGAGAAAACCAATGAATGTGCTCACCTTAACAAGGGCATCCTCCAAGGTACCAGTGACATCCTGTGCCAGGGCCACAGGGCAGCAGAGACGCAGGTCATTGAAGGCAACCAGAATATTGTTGAGGAAGCACGCAAGGGGAGGGAAGTCTAAAAGTACCATTGGTGGCTGCAGTGTCCCTGGTTGAGTGGCTGGCACAGCAGCAGGAATGTTACTGCTGCCCAGGATGGCTGGAGCTGAGATGAGGGTATAGGAATTCATCTCATCCTGGAATTTTTCCACTGCTTCCTGAATTGCTTTCTGGAAAGTATTGATGGCCACCCGCTGGAAAACAGGAGCCAACTGACCCCGGAAATCAGCCCCCACCCGGCTGAATGACAGCCCAAAGTACATACACTGGCCCAGCAGAGAGTCCAGGCGGCCTCCTATCCCCCGGTAAAGGTCAGTCTCCAGCACCTGCAGGAACTGTGAAACTTTCTGCAGCACCCATCCATGAAAGATGGCACCCTCATTCACAGCGTGCTCCCCCATGGCAGTTGGCAACAGTGGGTCCTCGTCTGAGAAAATGGCACGGTACTGTGTGATGATATCAAAGAGGTGGACTCGGCAGGCTTCAATAGTTTTTGTGATATGGAAATAGGGATCATCATTAGGGATTGTAGTCAGGATGGAACGGAGCCAAGCATCTCGGGCCTGAAGAAACTTTACTCTTAACTCAGCTTCAGTGAAGATGTCCATGCGCCGTAGGTAGCCAATGACTCGGAGGCAGGCAGGGAGCTGGATGTTGGTCCTCAGTTGCTGAATTAGTTGGCTCAGCATCAGCTGCATGGACTGGCGCACTTCGTTCACAATGCCCTGACAAAACAAGGAATGAGTAACAACATACAGAGACACTCTCTGGAACCCACTCCACTAACCCTGAACATTTCAGACAAACTTCCCATGGTTTTCCTGATATACAAAATGTATTTCTAAAGCTGATACTGGCAGGACAGATTTACAAAAATAGATCTGGTTGCATAACTCCCTTGCTTGCATTTTTTTTTTTTTTTTTTAGATACTGGGGTTGAACCTAGGGGTGCTTTACCCCACTGAGCTGCATTGCTAGTTCTTTTATTTTTTGAGATAGGTTCTCACTAAGTTGCTGAGGCTAGCCTTGAACTTGTGATCTTCCTGTCTCAGCCCCCAGAGTGGCTGGCTGGTCCTTCGTTTATTTTCTTTGGACATTTACCACTATCTGAAATAATCATATTATTTGTCAATTATCAGACCTCCACTAGAATGTAAGCTTCATGAGAGCCATGGCCTTGACTACTTTGATCAACCACAGTCCTGGCACCTAGATCAGTGCTTGGCACCTGATTCAAACATGTATCTTTGAAGGAATCAATTAATGAATGTTTTCTGCTCAAGCTTGCCTGCCTGACAGAAACTGATGTGAAACATGCAAAGGTTTTTATCTAACAGTTCAGTCACAACCACATTAATGATCATAAGATCAGTTTAGCCACTTGTGATGGCCCTCTCCTATAATCCCAATCACTTAGGAGGCAAAGGCAGGAGGACTGCCAAGTTCAAGGCCATCCTCAACAACTTACCAAGACCCTCAGCAACTGAATGAGACCCTGTCTCAAAATAAAAAATAAAAAGGGCTGGGAATGTAGGGACATAGTTCAGTGGTGAAGTACTCCTGGGTTCAATCCCCAGTCCTAAAAGAATAAAAAAAGAAGGTCTGAGGGCAATCCCCAGTACTAGGGAGGAAAAATTCAGCTTGAATACTCTGGGCAAGCAGGCTACCTTGATGACAGGAATGGAGGAGTATTTCCTTTCCAATCGCCGTACATAGGCTGCAAGCTCCAGGGCCTCTTCATAGTAGCTGTTCCGGACACAGGTATCCATAAGCTGAGGGATCTCCAGAATTTCCAGGATTTCTGTGTGCCGGTTTAGAGTCAGGGTGTTCATCCGTCGGTTGGAGCTGATCTCCTCAGCTTCCTTCACAAAGTTCCTACAAACAGGATGATGTTAGTCCCTTAATACTCTGCCCCCAAACCTTAGCTGATTACCAAGCACTGACTGTAAACTGGGCACTGGGTTAGATGGCTTACCTGATTTAATCCTTACAACCAAACCTATAAAGTAAATAAATGTACTTGAGGGAATTTTTAATCTCAGGGGAAGCAACTTGTCCAAGATCACACAACTGATAGTTATGAATCAGCTGCCATGGACTGGCAGACAGAGGATTAGACTGTTCCAGATCCCATAAACGGGAACTAAGTAGCTATAGCAAGGGACTTAGGCTCTCCGGAAGTGTTTCTTCATTGGTAATTTTTTTTTTTTTAACCCAGGGTTGCTTAGCCACTAAATCACATTCCTATTTCTTTTCTTGCTAAGTCCTCAGGGCCTCAATAAGTTGCTAAAGTTGGTCTTCAATTTGCAATCCTCCTGCCTCAGCCTCCCAAGTAACTGGGAATAATAGGCATGTACCACTGTGCTTCACCATTAATACAATCTACCTCAAAATGATGCCAGAATTAAGTGAGATGATGCATGTGAAGCACTTAACACAGACCTGATGCAATGTAAATGTGGCAGAGTAAAAGAGACAAATATTCCTTTAAAACTATTATTTTCATAATAAAGCACTAACTAGCCTACAAGACACAATCTTGCCCCAAATTCCCTCAGGTTTCACTCTCCTATGCTACTGTTCAACTTTAATTCCCACTACATTCTACTTTGTTATTTCTCTGTAATAACTGCAGAGACTTGCTTTATGAAGTCCCTTCTCTATTTGGGGGCGTGGAGGATACAAAAGCTATTGTCAAATATCCAAAGGATCAAAAGTAAAATTAAACTTGAATCATAAAAGGCTGGACTACAACTTAGAAAAACTGGACTGTGACCCAAGGAAGTACAAAATAGCTCAAAAACGAAATTTTGATTGTCTTTGATGCCCCCAAATGGGAGGATTTTCTAGTCAGCCTCCTATCCCTGGAAGTTTTGACTCAGATGGCGTCCTATCTGAGCTGTTGTCATACTTACATAAGTGTGCACATATATTAAGTTGGCATTTATTGTATTCTATGTCAGACCCAATGATAAATGCTTTGCATGGATTCTTTTCGTTTAGTACGTAAGTCCTACAAGGACTGCATTGCAATCACGACTTGAAAACTTAGTTGCTGTGTTAATGAACAAGTCCCTAACCACTTCCTTATTCGTAAAATAGTAATCTACCTCGAAGTCTATCGTGAGGTTTAAATGGATTAATAATGTGTTCAGAGGAGAGCCTGGCACATAGTATGAGCAACGTGTTAGTTATCTCTGTCATCCTAAATGTCAGCTATCATAATTAGAGACTCCTTTAGGGCCGGGCGGCTGCACCTGCAGTTCTGCTGGAAGCTGGGCAAGCGATCGAGCAGGCGGCCAAGCGACTCCTCCACGTCGCCGAAGAGGCGGTGGATACGCTCAGTGCACTCCGCGCCACGGATAAAGGTCTTGTAGTTGGCGAAGGCCAAGTCGCGCGTCTGTTGCAGCAGCTGTGCCCGCTCCTCGGCCAGGCGCTCGGGCTCGCGCCGCAGCCTCTCCAACCCTGAACCGCTCAGTTCCCGGAGGTAGCGGCCCACATCGGGCCGCTCCCGCCACTGAGCCTCGGGGAAGCGGTCCCGGAAGAGCGATGCCAGGAGTCCTTCATCCTCCACCTCTCCCAGAGCTGCTGCCGCTGCCGTGGCCGAGGCCGTGGATGAAGATGGGAGAGTCACTGCAGCCGCCATCTTCTCCTCAGCTACGTCACTTCCCCTCCAAACCGGTGAGGGCGCTGAGCGCCTAGGGCCGGAAGCAACAGGGTCACATTTCCTGTCTCTATGGTTTCTTCGCTGGAGGATTTTCTTTCCTCGGCGGTCCTCCACGTTAGGGGGCACTAGTGCAGGACGGGGCTAGAGAGGCAGGCTTTGGGGTTGCCAGGGAGCCGCCGGAACCCGACTTCCGTTCCTGGCAGCGGAGGCACGAGGATCCGGTGTTTCAACCCAGCGGGAAAATGCGGCCTTTAACTGAGGAGGAGACCCGTGTAATGTTTGAGAAGATAGCCAAATAGTAGGAGCACGTGGGGCGGACGAGGGAGTGTGTGCGCGGTGGACCCTGGGTGGAGTGGGGACGCGGTACGGGGTGAATCCGTTCGGGCGCGGCCTCCAGTCCTCTTTTTACCCTCAGCATCGGGGAGAATCTTCAGCTGCTGGTCGACAGGCCCGATGGCACCTACTGTTTCAGGCTGCACAACGACCGGGTGTACTACGTGAGGTGAGGCGTTGCTGGGCGGGCAGTGTGGATACAGTGGAGGCTTGCGTCCCCTGAGCCCCCCTAACTCGAAACCTTCCTCCTGCTTATCCCATTAGTGAGAAGATTTTGAAACTGGCCGCCAGTATCTCCGGGGACAAGCTAGTGTCGCTGGGGACCTGCTTTGGAAAATTCACTAAGACCCACAAGTTCCGTTTGCACATTACAGCTCTGGATTACCTTGCACCCTATGCCAAGGTTTGTGGGATGCTTTCCATTTCGTCACTGGGAAGGAGATCAGAGATAAGGGGCACTTTAGAATGGTGACACGCTATAATCCCAGCAACTCGGGAAGCTGAGCCAGTAGGATCCCTGTTTCGAGGCAGCCTCTGCAATTTAGTGAGATCCTGTCTCAAAACAAAAGAAAAAAAAAAAAAAAAAAGCAAGAGCTCAAAGCACTCCGGGGGGTTCAGTCCCCGGTACCAAAAAAAAAAAAAAGAAAAGAAAAGAAAGAACGCAAATCATTGGACAGCTGTTTTCCTGTGGAGTACCTGAGAGTACCTGGCCCAATGCCAGCACAAGGAGACTTTTTAAAGTCTTGCTGCGTGGCCATGCAGCTGCATAGTATAGTAATCTCCAGCAAAGTAGAAAAGCCTGTGCAGATCCAGTTGAAGATCAGAAACCAGATAAATGGCTGTGATGAGGAGGGTACTGGGATTCAGAAAAAGAACTGTTAAACTGTCCATGGGAAAAATTGCTTGTAGAGTTAAGAAAACTTTTTGGCAGTTCTGTTCAGTGGATGAACAATTTGAGGGGAAAAAATGCAACTACCCCTTCCCCAAAATTCTTTTTTTTTTTTTTTTAATATTTATTTTTTAGGTGTAGATGGACACAACACAACGCCTTTATTTTTATGTGGTGCTGAGGATCGAACCCGGTCCCGCTCGTGCTAGGCCAGCATTCTACCGCTGAGCCACAATCCCAGCCCCCAGAATTGTTTTTAGAAATAATCACAGGGGCTGGAGTAGTGGCTCAGTGGTAGAGCGCTTGCCTAGCACGTAGGAAGCCCTGGGTTCCATCCTCAGCACCACATAAAAATAAAAGATATTGTGTCCAACTACAACTAAAAAGCAAAATATTTTAAAAAAAGAAAAAGAAATAATCACAAAACAGCAGCTGACTTATTCACAGGGATATAACTATTACTGGTTTTTTTTTTTTTTTTCTCTTGCATTTTAATTCTATCTTACAGTATAAAGTATGGATAAAGCCTGGAGCAGAGCAGTCCTTCCTCTATGGAAACCATGTGTTGAAATCTGGTCTGGGTCGAATTACTGAAAACACTTGTCAGTACCAGGGAGTGGTGGTATACTCCATGGCAGACATCCCTTTGGTAAGTAAAGATGGTAGCTATTACAAAAACCAAGTGTCTTTTTATTCAAGAAGGATGTATTTTCAATTTGTGCTCCTGAGAAACTAATTTCTAAGCACCTTTTGAATTCCTCTAGGACAAGAATTGTGTTTTTTTCTCATTTTTATTATTTTCAGCCCTCAACATGGGCTTATTGAATGACTTGAGTGAATTAGTGTCTCTTCTTTTGAATCCCAGGGTTTTGGGGTAGCAGCAAAGTCTACACAAGACTGCAGAAAAGTAGACCCCATGGCGATTGTGGTATTTCATCAAGCAGACATTGGGGAATATGTACGGCATGAAGAGACATTGACTTAAAATGAAGTCATCGCAAGAACTTAACATCTGTGTGGAAGGGCCTAGCTTTGTTTCCTGTGTCTATGCAGACGCCGCCATCATGTTGAATTTTGTCAGCACTGTGACCTCTACAGGGACTTCTTAGTTTAATATTCTCATTATCACTGACAGGTGCAGGCTGATTCTTACTATACAGAAGTGACTCAAAAGTGGGGTTTTAGATCATTTGTATTTGTAACTAAATAGAATACTTTTATATTTGAATCAGGGGGCTTCTTGTTCTGAGTAATAGCTTCTAAATTATTGGAACTGAGGACAAGAATATAGTATTATTGTTATCTGTGATAACGCTGTTTTCCGGACTCATGGTAAGAACACAATGGATTTTCTTTGTTATTTATTAATTCACAAAAGATATTGCTATATAATAGTTGACCATGTCTGAGGTTTTAGGTATGAATTTGGCTAAAATAATAAGTGCAATTTAGTCAGCTGCTTTTCTATACAGTAAGTGCTATATGGTATGGAAGAAAAACTTGGATTCAAATCCTACTTCTGCCACTTGTCAGCTATACAGCTATGAATAAGTTGTTGAGCTTCCGTAAGCTTCATTTCCTTCTGTTAAAAAAAAAAAACCTACTTTAGCCATCAGTCTAAGAATGTTTTTTAGGATTAGGAATCATGATTATAAAGCATAAGGCACAGTGCATGGCAAATAATGGGGGTTGGAGAAAATGGTAGAGGAGTTATTTTTATATTATATATTTCTTTTAATAAGTAAGCATGTGGTCTTATGAGTATAATTTGATTATATTTTTACTTTTTTTCTTTTTTATCTTCTTTTTCTTGGATGGGATGATCCCAGTTTATAATTTTGTTCATTTCTTTGATTTTATGAAACATTTGTCTTATCAGCCTGACTAGACTGGACAAAAAAGCACTAATTACAAACCCTGAAATAATTTAGCTCCTTCATCCTCATACTTCCCCAAAATCTCTTGTAGAATTAAAATATTTTATAAAGGAGAACATTTCAGAGCCAGAAGTTTTAAAAACCACGTATACTGTAAAACAAAACAATTTCTTAAATGAATATAAAACTTTTAATTCCAAAGGAAACATCTCTAAAAATAAAATACTTTAAACTACAAAAAGCACTCTACCAACTCCTGTTAATATCTGCAAGCAAATTTGCTTTTGTCCCGTTGTTTTCTATTCTTCTCCCTTCCAGGGTTTTCTGTTAACCTCTAAGTAGAATCACTGAAGGCTAATGGACTGTTTTATGATGAAAAGTTTTTTAGTCTTGGCATTTAATTCATATTTTAGAAATAGTTAAACTCTGAACATTTGCACTTTTATTATTTTATTGCCATTTTGCTTTTGTTGATAAGGGTAATAGATTAAAATATTAAATTGATTTTTTTCCCCCCAATAATTTTATAAAGGTGATTTGACTAAAGTTTTGAAAAAGCTGCTGCCCCAGTAAAAAAAAAAAGCCAGGATGCTGTAGTCAGCTTAGCATTTTGGCTTCTTTGTGTCAGTAGTTGTTGGAACACTGAAGAGACGCTTCAAGAAATAGAGCTGCAAAATCCCAGAAAGAACAATAACAAGGCTCTGAACTGCTGACCACCAGTTCACATAGGTGTAGTTTGACTGGACAAGGAAAAAGTCAGCCATTTTCCTCATTCGTGCCAAGGTGTAGAATCGCCACATGTGGAAGACATTGTTGTGCACCTTTCGTGTACTCTCCTATAGGAGGAAAAAATAAAGAAAGGGATCCATTCCCCACCTATCCTCATGAGTGCTCAGCAGCACTAACCTATCTTAAAGTCAAGTAATTTCCTTATGATTTTAAAATATAGTATTTATTTGGCTATGCTGGGGCTCAAACCAGCACATTCTAGGCAAACGCTACTGCTAAGCTAAAACTCCAGCTCTATAAAACTATTATGGTTGATAAATGCTAATTTTGAAACTGGGTGTGGTGGCACATTCTTGTAATCCCAGTCACTTGGGAGGTTGGGACTAGAGAATCAATGATCACAAGTTTAAATTAAAGGCAACCAAGTGAGACCCTGACTCAAAAAGGGAGGGCGGTGCAGGGTAAGATTATGACTCCAGTAGAGTGGCCCTAGGTTCAATTCCTAGTACCAAAAAGAAAGTTTTGCTGTATATGAAAAGTGGACTATACAACAGTGTGGTAGAGTGCCTTTATTTTTTTATTATTATTATTATTTTTTAATATTGTGGGAACTGGGGGTGTGGGTTGGTGGTATAGTGCTTGCCTGGCATGCGCAAGGACCTAGGTTCAATCCCCAACACACATACACACACAAACAAATATTGTGCAGTGCTGGGGTTAAAACCCAGGGCCTTATATGTAGTAGACAAATGCTCTGCCACTGAGCTACACCCCAACCAAAAAAATTTTTTTTTGTTTTGTTTTTTCAATGATGAAACGGCTTCAGTGCTTTAAGTAGAAAGCTCTTTCCAGAAGATCTCTAGATTTAAGCATGTATTAAGCCTTTCATTACACTTTTGGTAATTTCTTCTGCCTGCAGACTCTGAGGGACAGACAGTAAATATTTTGGGTTTTACTGACCATCTCATCTCTTACAACTACAAATTCTGCCACTGCAGCACAAAAGCAGTCCATAGATACTTGTATTTGTCAAATAAGCATGACTTCAAATAAAACATCCATTTACAATAGTGTTCAGTCCCCAGTACCACAAAAATAAATAAAAATAAAACTTTCACTTACAAAACTAAGCTTTTGTGCACCAAGGAGACTATCAGGAAAGAAAAACTGGGCACTGTGGCACATGCCTATAATCCTGACTACTTGAAAGGCTGAGGTGGGAGGATCACAAGTTTGTGGCCAGCCTGAGCAGCTTAGCTTAGTGAGCCCTGTCTCAAAATTTAAGAAAGGGCTGGGTTGCAACTCAGTGGTAGGTCACAAGACTAGTGTGCACAAGACCCTGGATTCAGTCTCCAGAACAACAAGGAAAACAAAGAATGAAAATGAAAATCCCACAGAATGGGAGAAAATATCTGCAAATCATGTATCTGATATGGACTCCTGTCCAGGTTATGTAAGTAAAACAACTCTACAATACAAACACAACAAGCTGGGCATAGTGGCACATGCCTATTATTCCAGTGACTTAGGAAGCTTGACAAAGGAGGATCTCAAGTTTGAGGCCAGCCTTGCCAATTTAGCAAGATCTTATTTCAAAATAAAAGGGACGTGGAGGTGTGACTTAGTGATAGAATGCACCTAGGTTCAATCCCCAGTACCACAAAAAATAAAAAGAATTACTGGCAGGAGTGGAGGTGCTGGAATTGTGAATACTTGGCAAGTTTTCTACAACTGAATCAAACCCCCCAACTCAAAAATCCAATTTTAACATGGGCAAAGGAAGCTGAGCATGGTAGTGCACACCTGTAATTCCAGCAGCTCAGGAGGCTTAGGCAGGAGGATCAAGTTCAAACCCAGCCTCAGCAATTTAGCAAGGTCCCAAACAACTCGATGAGATCCTGTTTCTAATAAAATATAATAAAGGGAATCCCTGGTACCAAAAATAAATAAATAAGAGCAAAGTATTTTTAAAGAAGATATGTAGCCAAGTATGTGTAATCCCAGCAACTCAGGAAGCTGAAAAAAGTGGATCACAAATTCAAAGTCAGCCTAGGCAATTTAATGAAACCCTGTCAAAGTCAGGCCCAGTAGTGCACTCTTGCACTCCCAGCGATTTGGGAGACTGAGGCAGTAGGGTCACAATTTTAAGGCCTGCCTTGGTAACTTAGTCCCTAAGCAACTTGGCAAGAACCTCTCAAAACATAAGAAGGCTGGGGATATACCTCAGTGGTAAAGCATTTCTGGATTCAATCCCTAATACCAAACATACACATGGTCAATAAACGCTTGAAAATATATGTAACATTAATTATTAGAGAAGGTAACTCAAACCACAAGATACCACTTCATACCTACAGTATGACTATAAAATAAGTGTCAGGATGTGTCAAAATCACTTTCATACACAGCTAGTGGGAACATTTCGGTTACAATCTAACCCAACAGTTCTACTTTTAGGTAGACAAGGTAGAAACAATGCTTGGAGGCACATATTCATGGCAACGTTGTGGTAGCCAAAGGGTGGAAACAACTCAACTGCTAAGTGGATAATGAAATGTATGTTCACACAAGAGAATATTATTCAGCCATAAAAAGGAATAAAGTGCTAATATGTGCCACATGGATAAACCTTGAAAACATGATGAGTGGAAGAAACCAATCACAAAGGGTCCCATGTATGATTCCATGTATGTGAAATTTACAGGATAGGGTAAATCTATAGAAACAATGGAATAGTGGTTGCCAGAGCTGAGGAGATTATGGGGGAATGGAGAGTGACTAACGGGTACAATTTCTTTGGGGGGTGATGAAATTATTCTGGATTAGATGCTAGAGATGGTTGTACAATCTTGTGAATATACTAAAATCTAGTGAAATGTATATGGATTATCTCTCAGTTTGTGTGTGTATATACATACATACAGGTAGTAGGCCCTATTTGGTTTGTGAGTCTTAGTTTGGAAGCCCGTGGAATAAATTAGACTGGGGTTGTGGCTCAGTGGTGGAGCACTTGCCTCGCATGTGTGAGAAACTGGGTTCAATCCTCAGCACCACATAAAAATAAATAAATAAAATAAGGGTATTGTGTCCATCTACAACTAAAAAAATATATTTTTAAAAAGAGTCCAGGGGCTGGGGATGTGGCTCAAGCGGTAGCGCGCTCGCCTGGCATGCGTTCGGCCCAGGGTTCGATCCTCAGCACCACATACAAACAAAGATGTTGTGTCTGCCGAGAACTAAAAAAGAAATATTTAAAAAAATTCATTCTCTCTCTCTCTCTCTCTCTCTCTCTCTCTCTCTCTCTCTCTCTTAAAAAAAAATAAAATAATCTAAGTCTTAAAAATCTGTTAAAAGGATTCAGATCCTCTTGCCTGTTTGGTTTCCACTCTTTAATCCTTCCTCCAAATTTAAAATCAGTTCCCATGGATGTCTCTCTCTCACAGAAAACATTACCTGAATTGCATCCAGGGTATCATTCAGTTGTTTTCTTTGAATCTGTTTGTGGTCCATCTCTGGCCCTTCATAGAAGACTCCAAAGTTGACGTACACTTGCACAGAACCAAAGTGATTTTGCTGATTTTTTAGACAGAGCTGATAATAACCTGTAGGAATTCCTAGATTGTTACCAAGTCTTTGGTCTCCCACCCTATCTTAAGGTTTTCCTGGAGATACCTGTTCCCCTTTTTAAATTGCTACTGCATCACATTCATTTTACTTAGGAAGTACCCAATCCCATTTTTTTACATGGAGGACACTGCTCTAGTCTTACTAAATATTACAAATAATTATATTTTACTGAATATCAGTAACTTCAGTTCTATACTGGATTGTATCAGTAACTTCAGTTCTATACTGGATAGATAACAATGTTTTCCCTTTCTCCTAACCTGTAATTCCCATCTTTTTAAGATAACCCTGCTTGACTGTTGAAATTAAAGATTATGGTGTTTGCCTGTTTCTTGTATTCCATTAAAGCTGGGACACCACCTTGAACTTCAAACTAGGGAAAAAAAAAGTTGATGCTTTGTGAATGAAAAACACTACTCTATTGGAGTGTTGCCTGCCCCGTGGTCTGTTCAATGACTGATGGGGTTTCTATTAGAGTTCTTTTGAACTGGGTCACCTCTGTGTGCATCGTGGGTCAGGGTAAAATTATAAAAGCATGGCAATTTTGAAAGGCAAAATGTTTGGGAGGCACTATTGGCATGTAGGGGGCAAAGATGCTAAACATCCTTCAGTACAGAATGAGTATCCTACACATGTGGTACACATTGATGCCTCTGTTGGGAAAATCTGTCTTTGTTTTTTAGTACACTTGATTAGTTACTAAGATTGCCTGGTGTTGTCCAAAGTGGAATAAGCTTGATCTGGCTGTAGGAACTTTCTGGCTGGAGAAGTGCTTTGCTGTGGAGTGTGGATATCTCACATGACCATGCATTTTCTTTTTTTCTGAATCTGCTTTTAAATGACTGAAATATTCTGATGACTGGAAAGAAATGTGTCCCCATGATAAATTTGTTAAATGGAAATCTGTATTGTAATTTGTTTCTTACTTTCTAATAATTTGATCATTTAGAGAAATGAGAAAATTGAGCTTCCACTGAGTACAGTGGCAGGCACCTGTAATCCAGCTACTTAGGAGATTGAGGCAGGAGGATCTAAGTTACAAGCCAGCCTGGGCAATTTATGGCTGAGAGTGTTGTTCAGTGGTAGAGTACTTGCCTAGCATGAAAGGCCCTGGATTCAATCCCTAGTACAGGGGTTGGGGGTAGATATTGAGCTTCATACCCAGTGGTTATAATGTTCACCTTGAGACCCTGCTCCCAAATTGCCATTGGAATGCCAGTGGACAGTCTTAGATGTCAGAGGTCTCCAAGAAACTGGTTTTGGTGGTGATGGCTAAATTTTCTTCCTACCATTTTACCATCTCTATGTACTTCCTCATTATTTCCTCACTTTCATAGAAACCTCTGATTACTATAATAGCTGTGGGGATGAAAACAGACCTGTTTCTTGGACAAAAAAATTAATCTGGCCCCGAACATCCTGGGAGGTGCCTATGAGGAAATCCTGTGGAGTATGTGCAGTGGCAGCAACATGCCGGTCATGTGACATCCCGAGTATTCGCTGAACCTGCCAAGACATTAAGGAGCGAAGAAAGACCCTGCTACATCACCAAGAAGCCAGCTAGGTGGTAAAATTGACATCCCATAATTATCATCACAGTGGTTCTCAGTCTGGCATGGTACTGGCCACCCAGTCCCCCTTCTGGTGAATTTGGAATTGAGCTTTTTGGTTGTCATAGTAATGGTGTTGTGAGGAGCCACTTCTGAACAATCTACAATGTCAGACATGTTTCCAGCCACACAGCTGGGATGGAGCAGTTGATATGTACAATTCTGCCTGAAGAGTTCTTGGCTGAACTTGCTTGATTGTTGAGCTCCCTGGTGGTATCCCAGATTTGGGCATTTGCTGCTTGGCAGCCCATGCCTACAGTGGGCACTCCATGGACACCTGTCCCCAAACTGGATCTTGATAAGTCCAAGCTATAGTAGCTATTGTTCTGATATAAATTCAAAGATAAGAAAAAGCTCTGAAAAGTTAACTTAATTTTTAGTTACAGTGGGGTAAGAGCAACATTATCTATTACTATATTAAAAAGTTAACAGCTTTCTAAGATAAAGAACAAAGGAAAGGAACAGACTCTGCAGGCACAGTGTTGCACACCTGAGATCCGAGCTACTCAGGTGAGGCAGGAGAATCCAAAGATTGGCCCAACCTGGGCAACTGAGCAAGACCCTGTCTCAAAATAACAAAAGTTAGGGGCTTGGCTTAGTGGTAGGGGGCCTCTGAGTTCAATCTCCAGTATGGGATAAAAAAATAAGATCCTCCAAGTTGTTCCTGCTTGTAATCTCAGTGATTATGGAGGCCAAGGCAGGAGGATTGCAAGTTCAAGGTCACCTCAGCAATTTCACGGCCCCTGAGCAACTTAGAAGAACCTGTCTCAGAATTAAAAAAAAAAAAAAATATATATATATATATATATATATATATATATATATATATATATTTTTTTTTTTTTTAAAGGGCTGAGATATGACTCAGTGGTTAAGCACCCCAGGGTTCAATCCCCACCATCATCCAGTAAGTAAGTAAATAAATAAATAAAGGAAGGAAGGAAGAAAAGAAAGGCTGGGGATATAACTCAGTGGTAGATCACCACTGGGTTCAATCCCAGAGGAAGGAAGAAATGTGGGAGGGAGGTGGGAAGGAAAGAAGAAAAGAACAGCCTCTAACTTTAATACTGACTGTTCATTATCCTTGAACAATGTGGTGTAAGATCACAATATGGGCAAAAGTACTTGTAAAGAAGGAACTTGAACACATTTACCTTGCTAAAAGAAATAGATTGAGCCAGCGATTCTCCAATCTGCCAGAATTTCCTCTAAAGGCTTCTAGTATAGCAGATGTGGCTCCCCCAACCCCATTCAGTAGAGCAGCTTTCTTTTAAACTTCTGGGTCAGTCTGCAAGTTTCATGTGTTTTCATCCAGCTTTGTACTATATTCACGTTTTATTGATTTTTACATGCTGGGGACTCTGTATCTACTTTTTAAAAAAATATTTTTTATTGTAGATGGACACAATACCTTTATTTTATTTATTTTTATGTGGTGCTGAGGATCGAACCCGCGGCCTCCCACGTGCTAGGCGAGTGCTCTACCACTGAGCCACAACCCTAGCCCTCCTATATCAATTTTTAAAAATATATTTAAAAATGTATCCTTACTCCTCTCATCCCCAAATCCAAATCAATGCAATGGTTGCCTCTCCAGGAATTTGTCACATGGCTTTGAGCACACTTCTGCAGCCCCAGTTTGAGAAGCCAAGCCATATGTTTGAGCTACCATTGGCAATTATTCTCCAGCTCTCACCAAGAGTTTCCCTCTAACTGCAGGTCTATTTCATCAACAGGTGGGGATCACAGCATAATAGACAGCTAGAATTTGGTTTGATCTAAACCTGACTCATTTTACAAAAGGAAAAAATAGTTCTCAGTGTGGCCAGAGAAACCCAAGTACCTCATAACTGAAATAGAAGTATCCAGTCTGGTGGGCAAATTGCCAAAAGCATTCTGTGCTTCCTGGAGGGATCATAATGGCAAAGTCATGTCGATCAGCTCTGTGGAAGAGCGATTGGTCCCCAGAGCCTCTTAAGGGTTCTGTCTTCTGGCTCCTAGCAGATATCACTAGATTCAGAATCAGTAGCCAAGCCCCAAGGAGTAAAGGGGACATGCTGCTTTCTGTAGACTCCTGCAGGTGAACTGCTTGAAGCCCTGTGGATCCAAGTAGTTCTGATAACCACTGGGCTAATCATTAACCTAGGTTACATTTCAGCCAATTTTAGGGCTAAAATAAATATGCTGTGATAGAACTACCATAGAACTCCCATGTTTGGCTCATGGAAGAGTTTTTTCTTTTGCCTCAAAAATTAAGTGGTTTAACAGACCTACTCCATGGTGATAGAATCTACTACTTCATCGGATTTTTACCCATTCCTTAGGCTATCATGTTTCAGTTCTTGCTTCTTGGGGATGAAATATTGGATAAAATTCATTTACAACCATCTAAATATACTGAAAAGGGTTGGCTGGAGTTTTTTTTTTTGTTTTTGTTTTTGTTTTTAATTCATGACATGTTACCAGGTGATACCTCTTGCTCCTATAAAATATCTGGAGCAATGCGTTTCAATAGTTTTCTACCTAGAACTACAGTTTAGAGCAAAGCATAACATGTGTGAGCAAAAGTTTAAATGGATGAATAGAGTGACAAAGGCAGCAGCCAGTCCCCTCTACTTGATAGTCCTCTTCCTTAACTTCAACTTGACACATTCATCTAAAGCTATCCAAACCCCATTTAATGATGACACTGTTCAAATCCTCTGACTTTGTTTCATCTCTTATTCATAACCTTTTCAGCACTGGACAGGAGATTTAAAAAAAAAAAAAAAGCCATCCAAAATCCACTTCAAGACTATTGTCCAGGGGCTGGGGACATAGCTCAGTTGGTAGGGTGCTTGCCTCGCATGCACAAGGCCCTGGGTTCAATCCTCAGCACCACAAAAAAAAAAAAAAAAAAAAAAAAAAAAAGACTATTGTCCAAATGCTCAATCTTTCTTTTATTGATGACTTCAAATATCCACTGACTTCATGGCAGGCACTGAGCTAAGAAATTTACCTGCATCTTACTTGAGGTACTGTGATCTATCCTCTTAGAGATGAGGACATGACATTCAGATTTGAGTGGCTGGCTCAGTCAACAAATAGAGCTGGCAGGGCTGGGACTTTGATGGGGGCTCATGCTCTTAACCTCCAAGACAGTGTTTTTCAGACTGTCAGTTTCTATGTTCTAATGTCTAAACTTTTTTTTTTCAGTCTTAAAAAAACAAAAACTGCATTAACACCTTCTAACGAAGAACTGTGTCAGAAGTCATCACGACTAATGACTCCAAGCTTTACAACTAATAAGCAGAGAAAAGACCTCATAAGTGTGGTTCAGTTCCAGCCACAATCAGATGGCATCCCAGCACTAGGGAGGCATAGTGGTTCTGCAGTGGACTTGCTGAAGTCAAGGCAGGAGAGCCTGGGGCCACGTCAGTAACAGTGGCATAGGTACCCAAGCCCTGCTGCCACCATAGTACTTACACCACTCATGTCGGGAGCAGCAACTGGCTTCAGCTAAATAATCATCAGTTCGTGAAGTTTTATACTTCTAAAGAAGCCATAAGCAGAGTCCTACGTTGGTACACATTTCAATAACAACATAATAAAAATAACACTAAAGTTATATGAAAAAAAAGGTTAACGGAACTATACATTTCTTATAGTATTTGGTTTTGTTTTTTGTGACACTGGGATTAAACCCGGCAGTGCTCTGCCACTGAGCCACATCACTTGCCCTGTGTAAGACAGGATCTAAGTTGCCCAGGCTCATCTTTAACTTGTGATCCTCCTGCCTCAGCCTCCTGAGGAGTGGAATCACAGGTATGTACCACAGTGCCTGGCTTCATTTTCCAAGTTTGACACACACTGATTAAGATACTTTGCTTCCCTGAATGCATCACCATTAAATGATGGGGGGGTGGAGTCGGGGGAGGAAAGCTTTCTGGACTCTAATCCAATTTGGAGAGAGACTACAACTCACTATAACCAGAAGGCAGCTAGGCCAAGAGGAGCTTAAATTTTCACCTTTTCCCTGCCTTCATTTGGGTTTAGCTGGTAGTAAAACAGATCAAACCCCAGAACACACAGTGAAAGATAATAATAAAGCTATGCAAAGTTTCTAACTTGTAACTAAATGATAAATTTAAAAATTTTAGCATATCTTGAAGCTTTGCCTTTCACTCAAAAGAAAGTAAGGGGGAATTCTTCTGTCCCCCGAAAAGCATGTTACATAAGAAAATGGACAAATTAAGAGGAAACTTCCACATTGTCTGACATGGCTTCCAAGGATTAGAACATCCAGTACAGTTAGACAACAGCTTTTTTTTTTCATGGTACTAGGGATTAAACTCAGTGGTTGGCCTTGAACTTGTAATCCTCCTGCCTCAGTCTTCCAAGTAGCTGGGTTTACAGACATGCACCACTGTGCCTGGCTAACTTCAGTTTCTTGATCAATGTATGTAGTTCTGCAAAGTTTGTTCACAATTTCACTACCTCCATCTGTGAAAACATGCTGTGCTGCAATTAAACAACTACTTAAATTTGAGAGAAGCAAGACTTTAATGAAGAATGCTACAAGTATGGACAATAATTAGTTCTCATATTTTAAAAAAAGATTACAGAAAACTCTTTCTGAAAGTTTTTGCTAAAAAGACAATCTTTAAGGATGTCAGAGAGAGACAGCAAACACGACACAGTACAAAAGGAGAAGGGAACGTTGAATTCCAGTGCAAGACACTAACACAGCACAATTAGGGAATAGGCAGAAGCAACCGGTTCACAAAGAATGGAATTAGGTATTTATATTCAATCAGGATTTTTTTTAAGCTTTTGAAGTCCAGCATAAGGAAGGAAACTGAAAAGGGAGGTGGGACTTAGAGGGCTAAGCTTATCTACAATCACCATTTTACCAAGAAAACACACTGGTTCAACCACATGAGAAGTGGCGGATAAACCTGCCAATGTAGCACATATTAAAAGCAAATGCCAAGGCAGTCAGATCTATGGTTGATTTCACAGGTGGCTAAACAGTTTTTAAAATGATTCCACAAGGACTGATCTCTCATCAACCTGGGCTCAAAATCAATGGAGTTCCTTTGCATTTGCATCAGAAGGCCAAAACAACAAGTTCACTCCAGATGATGCTCCTGTTGCTGGATTTAACAGGTCATGAAATCATAAGTGACTCCAACAGACTCCACCATTTCCTAGAAGAAGATTCTACAGATTACTGGGGATTTAAATTTAAGCAAACCACTAAAGAAGGGAAACACTAATGGTATTGTGGCACTGTGCAAGCTGTGCCTGTCACCTCTGCCAAGGACACAAGGTAGGCTTGGCTTTGCTTCTTAGTTCTTAGCTCCATGATCTTCAAAAGTAATGAAATGGACCTGGAACCTCCCCCATATTGAAGAAGGTTGCCCACAATTCTCATCCCAGCCCAGCTTCTGAAAGAAACAGCAGGGATTATTATTAGGAACCATGCTCCTGTGAATCCTGGGAAAATGAAAGCCTGCTTCAGTTCATGCCAAGTTTTTTCATGGTCCGCCAGCGATCCTTAATCATCACAGCTGTTCGGTTAACAAACGGATAATTTTTAGAAATGGCAGCCCAGTTTCCTTCCCCGTATTTATGTACTCCAGCCTTGACCCATTCACTTTCTTCCACAGTCCACTTCTGCAAAAGAAAACCAAGAGTTATCAAAGCCTGTCTCTATTCACATGTTCTCCAAAATAGTAATGAGGTAAATTCAAGAATCACAGGAGAGAGCTGGGGGTGTAGATCAATGGCAGATGCTTGCCTAGCATGTAGGATCTTGGTTGATCCAGAGAGAATAATCTGAACCTAAAAGGAGGGTTTTTTTTTGTTGTTGTTGTTTTTTCTCTCCCTTTTGGTACCAGTGATTGAATTCAGGGGCACTTAATCATTGAGCCACTTCCCCAGCCCTTATTTTGAGACAGAGTCTCCCTGAGTTGTTTAGGGTCTTGCTAAGTTGCTAAGATGGCTTTAAACTTGTGATCCTCCTGCCTCAGCTTCCCCAGCCACTGGGATCACAGGTGTGTACCACTGGGCCCAGTTATGTTCTTAAAACATGGTAAAGATAGTAAATGAACGCTACAGATTGGACATTTGGTAAATTTCCTGCCATCTCGTTCTCGACTAATAATCATTTCTGTTTTCCAAACTTCAAAAATGTATGTGATCCAGAAAGTATGTCAGACTCTCCAAATTATTTTTCTAGAGAGTACCTATTGTCCATTGGCAATCCTTCTTTGAATTATCTCAAAAAAAAAAAAAAAAAACTTTTACCAGAGGCATGGGTAGTTGAGTCCTATAAGAAGGGGAATTATTTTACCTCTTTTCTAATCACGAAATTTGTATCAGAGAATTTTAAATTACCTGCTTTTTTGTTATACTGGTTGCATTATCTTCCTCTGGTACTGCTGGAAAACATTAAAAGTAGACTCATGTTAGAGTTCACCTTTCTCTGCACAAACCACAAGAAGAAAACAAGTGTCCCCATAGGGAACACTTGATTCAAATTTCACAAACATTGAGAAAGAAAGGACACCACTAAATGATAATTTATTCTTATCCTTTGCAAACATTAGTAATTTCAGCCCATGAGAATCTGTTACAAATCAAGTGCTTTACAGTCTTCCAATAAATGTTGGTTAATGATGGAGTTCAGCCTTTTTAAATTAAGACTATCATTGTTTAAAATTATTGAGGGAAAATCATACATAATACCTTAATGTATCATATATACATATATAATTTTCTAGTTTATAACCCTTTGCTAACCGCTGCTTTGAAATAACAGTTTTACTATTTTATGCCCAAATTTTCAAGTCCTTGATCCTCCCATGAAAAAGAGGTCAGACATCAAAAAAAAATGCACCAAGATGATTTTTTTTTTAAAGGTCAGAGAACGATAGGAGGGTATAAAAGTATAAACCACAGGACATTTCAGGCAATGGGAGTCCAAAGAAAAGCTTCAAGAAGAGACAATTCTGTATGAACGTGAAACTTGCCAGAGTGGGTGCTTTAGCAGATGTCACTATCCTAAATAACAGAGGTAAACAAAAGGATACTTACAGGACAGACTATTTATAAGGGAAAAAAAACCTTCATAATTATAAAGTATACAACAGTGGAAGCAGATTTCTAAAACTGACAAATTTGCATTGGGAATGGGTATTTTCTAGAACTTTTATATTCTGTTGTTTTTAGACATTTAATGTCATTCTTACTGTTTTTCTGTTACTTCCTCCATTCTCCATGTGGGTGTTTTTTGAGTTGTTGTTTTTTGTTTTTTTTTTTGGTATGTGTGAGTGTGTTTTGGCGGGGGTACCAGAGATTGTACTCAGGAGCACTTGACCACTGAGCCACATCCCCAGCCCTATTTGTATTTTATTTAGAGACAACATCTCACTGAGTTGTTGGCTTTGAATTCACAATCCTCCTACCTCCTACCTCAGCCTCCCAATTATAGGCTTGTGTCACTGTGCGCCGCCTCCATGTGGTCTTGATCTTACCAATTACATTTCCATCAATCAAGGTACTTACAAGGACAAAATCTTTGGGACTGGCAAATGATTATTGTTGCTATGTTAAGAAAGTCTTTAGAAAACCCTAAATGAAGATTTAGCACTCATGTATCTCCATCAGAATCTAAAATATGTGGTGGGAGAGATTCGAATGCAAATGCTATTAATTTGGGTATTAATTAGGGAAAAGTAAAGCCTATTACCATATATTACACACACACACACACACACAATCACAGATAAGAGTTTTTTTTTTTATTTTACTTAAAAAAGAATGCAGCAATGACCTTTATACTGTCTTTATTAAATACCCTAGGGTTCATTAAAATGGTCTCCATTGTTTAATAGGAAAGGATATAAAACTAACTCTTCATGAAATCAAATGAGGTCAGGAACTTACTAACTTTTTCTAGTTTGGAGACAGCAACTTCTGGAACATGAATGATGAGAATCATAGCAAATATTAAGGAGGGACCACAGGGAATTTGTAGCTTACCCTGAACTTGAAACAGTTCATCTTCTTCCACCCAAGTCTCTTTTTCTTCAACTCCATTGGAGCTGTTCCACTTGCGTTTGGATACTCTGAGGGGAGATCAATGAGGACAAGGTATGAAATATTCATCCCAATCACCCCACATTCTCATCTTGGCTCACTCGTGGCACTCATTTAGGGTTCACCTATATACAACTCCCGAATGCACTGTCCCTTCCCCTGGACTGGCCAGGCATCTCAACATAAACATCCCTCATGCTGCAAGAGCATCCCTCTAACTCAGCACCAAGTATTTCAGCATCCCCTCAATTTCTGTTCTCTTCCTTGGTGTTTTGTTTTGGTTGGTTTTTTTTTTTTTTTTTTTAAATATTTTTTAGTTGTTGATGGACCTTTATTTTTATTTATTTGTATGTGGTGCGAGAATCGAACCCAGTGCGTCATGCATGCTAGGCAAGCGCGTTACCACTGAGCTACAACCCCAGCCCCAAGGTTGGTTGGTTTTGATTGTCTTCAAGGTCCCTATTCTTCAAAGTAGAAGCTGCAAACTCTTTCCTCTCCTTCATGGATATGCTCTTTTCTTAACTTCAAACTGACTTCCTGTCCCTCTCCTTTCCTCTAATTCAAGCCCAAGGTGCCTCATGCCAGCATTAAACTAGCCTCTTCCCCTTATAAAATTGTCTTAAAATTACTACATCCCTCTCCAGTACATGATGGCTTTTCTGTCTAACCAGCAACGCCTAAATGCCTATATAGTCTGCTGGCCCTAGACAGTTTCCTATCAAAGGTCCCCCAATACCTGCCCTACAGCAGAGCCAGGCTGCTCTGCTGCTTCTCCTACCAGCTCTGCACCTGCCTGCCTCTCCATAGTCTGTTCTCTCTGCCTAGGAGTCCTTTGCCTGCCCAGTAAACTCAGCCATCTTTCAATGACACCTCTTCCTCTATCTACTGACCCTAACTCAGACCAAAAGGCCCCATTTCTCTGCCCCACAGAAGTGTTTCCACTTTATAAAAAATTATTTCATAATGTGCTTCTAACCACAAGCTACTTGAAAGTCAGCCTTAATTTATCTACCACAAACACTTGCACAATAACACACCCCCTAACATGGGCTAGAGATACACTAGTTAAGTCAATATTGGGATTATCCAAGCCAAAAAGGAATTATATCCTCAAAATTTAGAGTGATAAGCAAACAATCCTTCCTATAAACACAAAATTAGTACTGTGTGTAACCACAAAAGACCACAGCTAAAAAAAACCCAAACCCAAATTACCAAATGAAAATTGCAGTTTTTCTCTTCTAATCAACTTTAACTGTGCTTATCTGATTAGTAATATAATTGCTCTGGGAACAAAATACAGCACAAAGCTGACCTCAGAATTATAATATGTTCTTAATGTGTTCTACAAAACAAACATGGGGAGTGTCTGAATTGTTTTGAAGAGAATGTATGTAGATAAAAATGACCTACAGATGTTAACACAGATAGTAGAGACAATTTGTCTCCTCTCTGGGAAAAAAAAACCTGATTTTTAATGTTTATTAAAAATCTGTTTTGTATCCAGCACAGTGGTACATTATAATCCCAACAACTGAGGAGGCTGAGGCAGGAAGATTGCAAATTTGATTGCAGCCTCAGCAACTTAGGGACACTCTGTCTCAAAAAAAAAAAAAAAAAAATATATATATATATATAAAAGGGCTGGGAATGTGACTCAGTACCAAAAATTTTATATATATATATATATATATATTTTTTTTTTTTTTTTTTTTTTTGCAGGTGAGTAGCAAATGAAAGTAATTTGGCTAATAAATGCAGGCTTGAAACACCCTGAGTTCCATAAGTTAAGAAATTACTTAACCAAGTGACTGATAAAATGGTAGATTTTATCCCCCATAATATTATTTGAGAATTACTTGCTTCAGATAAAGTGAAGTTTCATGAGGTTTTTCCGTCTCAGAACATTACTGTATTATTTTCTACTTATCAGTTAAAGTCGGAAGGTTACATTTTAAGCTTTCCTGTCACAGTGCTGGCATAAAACTGATTCCCTCCTGGCCCATCATTTCCCCAGTTGTCCCCTCTTCCTGCAGTCACTTTAACAATCTCCCCTTCCTCTGGACTCTCAGCATTACCACCCACATGAATGTTTCAGGACTCATTGTAGAGGCTTCAAGACTCTTGCAGAAGATGACATCATGCTGCCTCTGCTTACTTCTCTTGCTGTGGGAGCCGAGATTAGGGTTCTACTGTTAATGGCTGTGTGGTCCTGAGCAACTGGGGCCACTTTATGCTCCTCATTGCTAAGTTTTGTACTTGGGTTCTAGGCTGAGAATGCTATGTTATAAAACAAAAAAAACAAACTAAGGGAGAAGGTATGGCCCATGATACCTGCCTCATTTATTTGGCTAATACCTAATCAGCACTGGCTACCTGAAGTGCTGTGGAAGATATAAAAAGCTAGGAGTCATGACCTTGCACTCTAGGTGATCTCCCAGTCCTGCCTCTTCACCCTGATGCTTCCTCAGCATTCCCTGCTCCTTGGCAGTTGTCTCCAGCCTCTCTCCCTACTCTGTGCCTGTTCAAAAGCCCTCAGTGGTGTCCCTTCAGGCCTGCAAATTAGTTACGTTAAAGTCTATCTGGGACATGGTTATAGAAGTATATATATTACAGAGCATTCTCTTGCCTTTTCTAATTCAGCAGTCAGAAGCCTGGGGATTTTTTTGTTTTGCAGTTCTGGGAACTAAACCCAGGAGTACTCTACCACTGAGCTACATCACCAGCCCTTTTGATTTTTTGAGACAGGGTCCACTAAGTTGCTTAGGCTGACTTGAACTTGTAATCTTCCTGCCTCAGCATTCCAAGTAGGTGGAAATACAGGTGTGTACCACCACATTCAGCAGAATAAGTACTTTAAAAATATTTTAAAAGTCTTTGCAACTTGAAGCTCAGTATGAGAAACTGCCTTACAGACCAAGATCTGGCCCATCTGCCCATCCAACTTTCTTCCTCCCTTCTCTCCCAATCACTGCACTATCTTATCAGTTACTACACAGACCACTCTGAAGCATGCCAGGCTTTCTGGGCCTGGAAGGCTTTCCTAGAACCCTCTCCTTTTCAGTGTGCTTGATGACCTCCTACTCGAGTCTTCCAGGCCAGCTCAATGCTCCTCTGCAAGATTTGCTCCACAAGACTTTGCTGAGCAAGCTCATCAATCCTTCCCCAGATCTCCCAGGGCACCTCACACATTCTTTAGAGCAAAGATCACTGGATCCCTTTTTTATAAAGGGCCAGCTGATATTTTCAGCTTTGCCATCTCCATTGTGACTACCTAACTCAGGGTCAGAGTCAACTCATGGACAATCCATGACTGATGGGTATGGCTATGTTCCATTAGAACTTTATTTGCAAAGACCAGTGGCAGGTGACTCCAACTGTGCTAACCCCTGCTTTAGAGTACCCACCATACTTCATTCACATGCTCTTGACATATGAAATAAATGGGTATGTCTGAAACCTTCACAAATCTTCCCATTTACAAACACTGCAATCCTGCACTTCCTCCAGTTTCTTCATCTGTTCCTGGGGGCAATACCTACACTGTATAGGACTTCTGTAAGGAATAAATGAGAACAATGTATGTAGAGCTCTCCTCAGCTATGCCCATTTGCTAGCCACTGACTCACATCCAAATCCAAATAATTTGTGCCTGAGGAGAAATCACTTATTAGATGCTTAGCCCTTTGGGGAAGCTCACAATAAAGCCAGAGCATGGGTCCTCAAACAAGATAGAACAGGGGTGAAGATCGCAATGTGGATCAGCAAAGTGGATCTCTTATAGCAGGAGCGATCAGGGAAGAGTTCATAGAGGAGGCAATTTTGAGAGGCAACTTGGTATATGTGACATACAGGCTTTTGTGTCAAGATCAATCTGGCTTAAAAAACCCAAATCCTAGTTTTCCCACTTTCAGCTCTGATTTCAGGTGAGATCCCAACTTTTCTAAGCTTTTTTCATCTATGCAGTGGGACTAATATAGCATCTCAGAGTAAGGATTGTAGATTCAGTAAGATAATACATTAAAGTACTTGGCCCCAGAAAGCCCTTAATCCACAGTAGCTTCCCTTCCCTTTGAAGATGGATGAGATTGTAACAAGCAATGATGGAAAAATGATATTCCACTGTGGGGAATGATAGGAAACAAAAGTATAGTAGTAGAAATAGACAATGTTCCAGAGACAGCAAGCAGACTAGTTTACCTGGAGAGTGGATCCACAAAGGGCAGCAAAACTCAAAAGCCATATTGGGTTGGGAGTCATGATGGGGAGCAATATTAAAATGTTATAACCACTGCCCCACAGTACCTAGCAGGATGTGGAAGATTAATAAGTATTTACTGAATATGCCAAGTTTAAAATGTTCATAAAAGTTGCAAAACTGTAAGTATTCGTTAAGTCTCTTTTAAGAATAACATGGCCCAATCCAAACAAATTTCTTTAACAAACAAGACTAATATTTAGTAGTCAAGGCACTTAGATGTTTGCTAAAAACAAAAGCAGTGATGGGGAGGAGGCTCAGAAACCCTCCATCTATCCTCCCTCATGCCCTAGTACAATGCTGGGCTGCCTACATATGGGCCTTCAGAACTGGCAGGAACTGCTACATCGTCACGCCCTTTTCCCAAGTCACATTCTAGCAGTCTGAGCAAGCCTTGGTGGTGAATAACTTCACCACTGAAAGTTACTTCATTCATGGAAGTAATACCAGGCCCAACCAGGACCGCCAACCAGCCCCAAAACTCCTACAAAGAAGGTCTTCATACTTGGGATTCTTGTCCCCAGGGCGGGGCTGGTTGAGAGCGGTGGGCTTAGGTGGAGATGCTGGAATGATCTCCTGGGAGGAGCTGAAGCCTGTGCTGGGCTCAGTACTCTGGCTGTCCTCTTCCAAAACCAATCTGCTTATAGTCATGCGCTTGTTCTTAGGCTGCAGTTCTGAGCCACCTTCACCCTCAACAGGAGTTGAGCTTTCATTTTCATCTTTTTTGGGTCTCTTGTTTTTGAGGGTTGGTGATGATGGGGATGCTTGATTAGGAAGTACCAGATCTTTCTGGTCCAGTTTTGAGAAGGCTGCCTCTGAATCCTGTGCACCTGACAGAGCCTTGAAAGCTGCCTTCAGAGTCATAATTCCAAAGGTGGTTGGAGTATTCCGTAGCTGTCTGTGAATAAAGTAAATAAACAAAGATCAATTTCACCATTTTTGGTGCTCAAACAGGCACAACTTTTTTTTGAGTGTAAGGCTTCAAATCAGACAGAGGACTGCTTAAGTTAAGGACTCAACAGTTAAAAAATGGGGTAGTGGCTGGCTTCACACACACTTTATTTATAAACTGAGCTTTCTCTCCTGTAAGAGCTCCGAATACTGCCTATGTACCACAAGTCCAGGAGGGCAATCCACTGTAATCGAACAATCTCACCTTGAAATCTCAATTCTTCTTCCAGCTGTTCCAGTCCAACCCTCGTATGAGAGATAACTGATTGGTCTCTACACACATTTAAGAACCAGATCTTGAGAACTGTTAGAGAACATGTACTATGCTATCTTGGAACAGTGAGAGACTTGCCTTTTATAAAAAATTCATCTATCATTTAGAATACCTTGTGTGATTAAAGCAAAAACTGTCAGGAAAGGGGCAAACTGGCAGCCTACAGGTAAGAAGGGGTTTTTTCCACCTTAAAATGGAGTGTCAGCCAGAGGCAGTTGTAGTGGTGCATGCCTATAATCCCAGCAACTTGGGAGGCTAAGAAGTTAGAACTGGGGCTGAGGTTGTAGTTCAGTGGTAGAGCGCTTGCCTACCACACATGAGGCCCTGGGTTTGATCCCCAGCACCACATAAAAATAAATAAAATAAAGGCATTGTGTCCAACTACAACTAAAAAATAAATATTAAAAAAAGAAGTTAGAGGGGCTGGGATTGTGGCTCAGCGGTAGAGTGCTTGCCTAGCACCAGTGGGACCCAGGTTCGATCCTCAGCACCACATAAAAATAAAGGCATTGTGTTGAGTCCATCTACACCTAAGAAATAAATATTTAAAAAAAAAAAAAAAAAAGAAGTTAGAATTGCCGGGGCTGGGGATACAGCTCAGTTGGTAGAGTGCTTGCCTTGCATGCACAAGGCCCTGGGTTCAATCCTCACCACCACCACAAAAAAAAAAGAAGAAGAAGAAGAAGTTAGAATTGCCAAGTTTAAGCCGGCCTCCTCAATTTGGTGAGACCTCATTTCACAATAAAATATATGGGCTGGGGATGTAGCTTAGTGGTTGAGCACTCCTGGGTTCAATCCCCAGTATGAAATAAAAAATAAAATGAACTATCAACATTCAACAATTGGGAAATCTCAAAAGAAAAAATGGACCTCTTACACAAATTTTGAACCACTGAAGTGTGGGCATGCTTGGACATTTCTATGGGGCACCAATCACCAGATGGTAAAAAACACATCCTTTCTCCTTCCCAGTCCCATGCCCTGGACTGTATTATGTCTGGATCCACTTTGCTATGTCCTTATTAGGCTGCTATGGTGTGGATATGACTTTATGTCTCCCAGGATTCATGTGGAAATTAACCCATTTTGACAATATAAGAGGGTAAAAACTTAATCAGACTATGAGGTTTAGAGGTAGAGCCTTTCAGAAGTGAGTAGAATTAGACAAGGCCATCAGGATACAGTCCCTGTGTCTGAATACTGATGGTTTTCTAAGAGGAGGGAAAGAGACTAGAGGACATACACACAAATTCAAGCTCCTTGTTTCTTGCTTTGTGATGACCTACACTACTTTAGTACTTTAGAGTAAAAAGGCCATCATGATGGGGGTCCTCAAACTTCCAAAACCCTGAGCCAAATAAATGTCCCCCCCAACCTTTATATAAAAAGTTATCCAGCCTCTGGTATTTTGTTACAGCAACACAAAATGGACTAATACATAGGCTGGAAGAGAGATATCTAATGTGCCCCCCATTCAATTTGAGATTTTGACTCACACATCTGAATACTGCTTTTTTAATACATTAAGGAAATAAGTATTCACAGGATATGGGCATGGCAAAGAGAGAGAGAAAAGTGGAGACAGAACTTTGAGGAAGAGCCAATCAGGAACATCTGTCATGAATCCCAGACATCCCTTCTTTGATATTCATATTTTTCTCCACAGTGTATGCTCTATCTTCCAGAGTACCATGTACAAGTAATCCAATGACATGTTAGTAGGTCAAATAACCAAGAGGAACTGATCCTATTCAATGTTTTCCCCAAGACCACAAAAAGGCAGTCCGCTCACCTTGCAGGCTCTCTGAGTGGCTTTTCCACAGGCTCTGGTGCTGGCTGTTTATCTTCCTTCATTGTACCCGAGGCAGCAGACTCAGATTTCAAAGCCTTTTTGGCCATCTGAAAAAGGAAGGATGTCATCAGGAAAAGGAAGCCACAGAATTCCATTAGTCTCCTTTCACCAAGAACATCCTCAATATGCAAACTTACAAATCCAATCCAGACATAAACTGAAGGAAGACATAAAACAGAGTGGACCAATGAGAATCATGTCAAACTGCTTTCTTTTTTCCTTCATCAAAAAAGTTACATTTCCACAAATGGCTCATAGTTATCTACCCTAAAGGAAAATTCAAGTCAAGTTGTGCTGTCCCTCTTGACACTGAAAGAAGTCTTTAATCTTTCAGACACCAAATAATTTTACTCTACATTTCTTCTCCTATCCTTCCAATCTCAGCCCTAATCTATTTGACTCCCAAGTAAGTATACCTTTAGGATCATATAAAAAAGCCAAACATCTTTTTTCAAATGCCATATAATAATGTTTATATGGCTGGTTTTTAATACGTGTATAAAATTTATTGTATTTCCACATATATATTTTGCCTTGTTGACAAATTTGAAAAGCCTTATTCTGCCAAGCACAGTGGAACACCCGGTAATCCCAGCAGCTCAAAGAGTCTGAGGCCGGAAAATTGCAAATTTAACACCAGCCTCCACAACTCAGCAAGGCCCTAATCAGCTTAGACCCTGTCTCAAAATGAATAAGAAGGGCTGTGGATATGGTTCAGTAGTTAAGCGCCCCTGGGTTCCATCCCTAGTACCAAAAAAAAAAAAACCCTCCTTATACTACACATGAAGCCACAAGCACACCATTCTTGCTCTAACTCTCACTGTTCGTCTGTCTCCCTCAAATTAAGCCTTATACATGTCCAGTAAGTTCAATATCATTCAGATTCAGATATAGATATCTGTAATGTGTGGTATCTTAAGAGCTGAGATTTCTAGCCTCACACACAGTGATAGGATTTTTTTCCAGTTACTTGGAATGCAAAGGATTAGAACACAACTAGGCCAGGGTCTAGTATCCTGACACTTACTCACTGAATATCCCAAACTAACTGCTTTACAAATAATTTGATAATTGCCAAAAGATTGCTAGCATTGATCACTGACACTATCTTAACATGGGCCTGACAGACCTACTGTTACAGGATTGGGTATTTTCAAAATTCTGAAAATCCTGGGGTTTTGTTTTTTAAAAGCTTCTCATCCTGTGTTCCTTCATTATGGTCCATCATAGGACAGCCTGGATTCCAGTTCTTCCCAGTGCTGTCTGAGCCTCACTGCTTCAATTTTTTATGCTTATCTTTTTGATCCAATTAAAAGATCACCTTCATTTGGCCCCTTTTGACCATATCAAATTTCCAATCACACCTTTCTCCATGCCTTCTTCCTGTTAAGAAATCCATCAAGCCACATGGACCAAATCACACTTTTCCCCCAGAATTTTGCTCAAATTTCATCTCCTGTGGGAACCACAATAGAATGTAAGTAAATGTTCTACTTTAACCACAACAGAATAACTGGATGTAAAGGAGGTAAAAATGGGAGGTGAGGGAGACCAGTTATGTTCCATTTGCCTGTCAGTATCTCTGCTATACATATTTTTTTCAAATATGTTTTTAGTTGTTCATAGACCTTTGTTTTATTTATTTATATGCAGTGCTGAGAATCAAATCCAGTGCCTCACACATGCCAGGCAAGTGTGCTACACCTGAGCCCCAGCCACAGCCCCCTCTGCTGTATATTTTTAAGGCAATTATTTAACGGAGATAATACACGTAATTCAAAGTCTTTTTCACACATTTTCATTTCTTTTTCTTTTTTGGGTGGCACTGGAAATTGAATCCAGGGGCAACCTATCACTGAGCTGTATCTCCAGCCTTTTTATTTTTAATTTTGAGGTGGAGTCTCACTAAGTCAGGCCTCAAATTTTGAATCCTCCTGCCTCAGCCTCCTGAGTTGCTAGAATTACAGGTGTGTGACACTGCACACAGCTCACTTTTAATTTTCTAATTCCCTGTACATCCTCAAGGGCATATCACTAGGAAGAAAGGAGAGGTCAAGGCACACCGTGAGGAGGTAGGGCTCTGTGTCGTCCAGGTGGCTCTCCAGAAAGCGCAGCATCTTCTGCTGGAAGGTCTCATAAGAGAAGTTCTGGATAACAGGATGGGCCAAGTTCTTTTCTCGAATAATGTTCAGGAGATCATTTCTGAGCTTCTACACAAAGGACAGTGTTATGGAACATGAGAAAGGAAAAGAACATCAGTAAAAATTCAATGATGAGTTGCATCATTGTCAATGAAAATCACTTGTATGCATATAGTAAGAGAAGTCCAGCACAAAGGACTAGTCAATAAATCATGGCTCAGCCACAATGAATTACTATGCAGATATAAAACAAAGAATAAAAGAGCTCCTATGTGCTACCACAGAACTCCAAGATTTATTAAGTGAAAAAAAGCAAATTAAAAAGTGTTCAATATCAGCACATAAAATATGTTGTCACATGTGGATGGGAACAGGCAAAATGGGTACATGTGTACGACTGTACACACAAATGTGCTTGCAGATGCAAATCTGTGAAAGGATAAAACTGAGGGGAACAGACGGGAAAGGGTCAGAAATGAGGGAATTTCACTAAACATTTTGTTATGACTTTTGAATTTTATATTATGTATACATTACCTTTTCAAAAAATAAAATTTAAATCTCTAAAGGAAAAAAAAGTAAGAGCAGAGGACCAAAAGAGTTTTTGACACCAGAAGACAGGTGTTAAGTTCTCTGCAACACAGAATCTCCTCAAATCTACAGGATTAGCACTTAGGTAAACAAAGTTAGAACATTACAAAGCTCATCAGCCTAATAAATGTTCTGTCACAAACCAGCTAGAAATGAGACAAGTAAATGGCTTATGTAAATTTGTCTAATGAAAATTAAATTTTGAAAAGCCAATCTCAGATACTGAATTGAATCTGAGTGGTTTGGATATAAAAGACAACATGCTATAGACACTTCATATTTAAAGGTGATAATATACCTGACAAAGAGCCCTTTCCCTATTGTTCCATAAAAAGCAATAAGATGGATATAAATCATGGGAGGAAAAATATATGAAATTTACCTGAGTTGTTGGGTCCTTGGACATATGTTTTTTCAAAATTTTTGAAGCCTTTTCAAATTCTTTGTTTTTGATACAAATAATGACAGCCTACAAAAGGAGGAAAAACTTTTTTTTTTTACTTTTGTAATGAAAGATGTTATCAGAATATCAAATATCAAAATAAACTGTACTAAAAGTAAAGCTGAGCCTTACCTACCCAAGAACTTTTTCACATCATATCAAATTCCTATACTTAAAAACCAAGAGTAATTGTTTAAGGGTTATGAACTACTGTAAGCTGTCTCTTTCAGCTTATAAGATAGTAGCTTTTCAACATTACAATGGATTGTTTTTTAAATTGCTGATAGAGCAGCATGGGATCCCCTGGATTACAGACCATTTAACCAATGTGAACAGGGCCTCCTAAGGAAAGACAAAACAGACAAGAGTCATTCTAGATTCCTCCAATCCACAAAACAATTGCTTCTGTTACTTTTGGTTGCAAGAGCTTAGAAGTAATGGGTGGATGGGGAGGGAGCATCTACCATGTAGGGGAGTGGAGGGGGACAAGTGGCTTGCTGACCATAGGGTTTGCTGAGACAGGGTTCACAAGTTGGAGGATCATATTCAGTTACATCCTGGAAAGGCCTGAGGCCAGTTCTGTAGGAGAATAAAAAAACAAGGCTTTTACACCATAACTATTATCAAGCAGCTTTAGTTAAAGTGTTCAGGGAATTATTGAAACCAAGAAACCCAGCTCATCCACAAGTGGTAAATAAAAAGGACAAAGTTCCAGGTAGAACGAGAAGTTTTCTTCAGCCACAGAGAAAAAGAAGAGCCTTCATAAAGAAAGCCCAAAAGAATATATGTAGAGGGAAAATAACAATGATTGAAAATAAAAAAATTTTTTTTAGTTGTAGATGGACACGATACCTTTAATTTATATATATATATTTTAATGTGGTGCTGAGGATTAAACCCAGTGCCTCACGCGTACAACCACTGAGTTACAACCCCAGCCCCTAAAAATGAAATTTTAATTTATGTGAACACAAAAAAATTAAAAAAAAAAAAACAGAAAATGAAGGGCATTTGGAGTTATTTAACAGGATAAAATAGTCACTTTAAACCCTTAAAGAGAGCATATAGAAACAGATATTTTGAAAAGATCACATTAAAAAAAGAAGCAAAATTTTTCTACAGATTTTTTCATCATGTGTGTATGTGGTACCAGGGATTGAATCTGGGGGCATGCTACCAATGAGGTACATTCTCAGCCCTGTTTATTTTGAGACAGAGTCTTGCTAAATTGCCCAGACTGGCCTCAAACTTGCTATCCTCCTGCTTCAGCCTCCCCAATTGCTGGGATTACAGGTATGCACCACCACACCAGGGTTCCACAAATATTTTCAATCTTTATGAAGAAGAATGTACAGAAAGATACAGAATAAGAGGAGGAGGACTAACAAGGGAATTCATTAAGTACCAATCTCTGGTGATTTCATCCTCAACACGCTAAACATAGCCATCCAAGAATCTGGTGTCAAATGCTCTTAAATAAGCAGGCACAATCATAAATTCGTGCTACCTAGAAAAGCTACAAAATAAATTTCTTCTTTTAATCAGATAACCATGTCCACTTACACATAATTTTCAGCAGAAAACCTATACTAAGATTATCCTTACTTTCTTGAAGTACAAGCTTTTATGTTTTATAAATCCTAAAAGTCCTATTACGTTTGTTAATTTAACTTGCACATAGCAAAATCAACAATCAACCTGTTTTATACCGAGAGTTCTGGGTTTTTTTTTTTTGGTACCAGGGATTGAACCTAGGGGTTTTTAACTGCAGGTAACTAAATCATTCAGGGTCACCCCAGATGAATTTGGGTTCGCACAAAATAATTACACAGACAGAAAATATCTTTCTCTTAGGGTCCGATGATGGCTCTCGACTTTAGGAGTCCATTGGAAAGAGAAAAAGTCACCTGAATTTTTTATTTTTATATAGGGGGCACACAAGGGGAGGTTGGATGGAACTTTCTATCCAAAAAAAGTAAGGGGCAGTATTACAAAGGAATAAGAAGGCAGCCCACTCCATTGGGTAATGCCCACTCCTAAAGCTTTGCCCCTCTGCTAAGATGGGAATCCACCTGCTTCCGTGACAGGCATGTGCCACCACACTCTGCACAGTTCTGAATATTAACATAACACACTCTCATAACCACCACTGAGATCCATAGAAAGCCTCCTACACAGCTCCTCTGTAGTCACATCCTGTCCTCTTCTCTAACTGCTGATCTTTTTGCTGTTTTGATGCCATATAAGTGGAATCAGATGGTAGTACCACTATCAGGTTAAACTGGCTCCTCCCACTCTAATGCCTTTGAGGTCCATCTATGTGGTTGTACTATCCAGGTTCACTTTTTTCTTGTTGGTAAGTATTCCATATGGACACACTGTCACTTATCCATCCACTGAAAGACCTTTGGGTTGTTTACAATCTTTGGTCTTCACGCATAGAGATGCTAATATTCATGTATAGGTTTTGATGTAAGCATAACTTTTATATTCTGAGGTAAATATCCATGGGTGGGATTGCTGGGTCATTATGGAAAGTATATAAGAAATGACTAAACTATTATGGTATAGAGTAGCTAAACCATTCTGCAGTTCTATCATCAATATATGGGAGTTCCAATTGTTCCATATACTCACAGCACTTCTTTCAGATTGACAAAAACAATATGTATCTATCATGTGCAACACGTTTTGAAATATAGCATTTTTATTGTTATTTTTAAAGTTTAGGAATACTAATTGGTATTGTGGTTTCAATCTGTATTTCCTTAATGACTAAATGAGGTCGAACATCTTTTCATGTGCCTTTTTCACATCTATATTCTTTTTGTTAAGGCTTTTGAACATTAAAAATGTAGTATTATATAGGCTTATTTTCTATTAAAAACAATTCCAGCAGCTCGGGAGGCTGAGGCAGGAGGATCATGAGTTCAAAGCCAGCCTCATCAAAAAAGTGAGGCACTAAGCAATTCAGTGAGATCCTGTCTCTAAGTAAAATACAAAATAGGCCTGGGGATGTGGCTCATTGGTTGAGTGCCTGAGTTCAATCCCTGGTACTCCCTCCAAATTTAAAAAAAAAAAAAAAGTTTTTTGCATATTGTCACTTATCAAATATGATTTACCGATATTTTCTTGAAATCTGTATCTTGTCTTTTCCTTAACAGCGTTTACCCCAAAGCAAAAGCTTTAAATATTGATGAAGTCCAAGTATCCATTTTTCCTCTTGTAGATTATGTTTTTGTTGTCATATCTAAGAACTTTTTGCCTAACCATGACATGGAAAATTTTCTTCTATAAGTTTTAAAGTTTTACATTTGGCTTATGATCTGTTTTTTGGTTAATTTTAGTATAACATGTGCTTAAGTTCACAGTTCATTTTTGCATATCAACTTTCCACTGTTTCAACACCACTTGTTGAAAAAAACTATCCTTTTTCCATCGAAGTGCCTTCACATCCTTGTCAAAAAATAAGTCATATTTGTGTGGGTCTGTTTCTGAACTCTCCCTTCTGGTCCACTTATTTAGAGACATAAATAAAACACAGACATAGCATCTCTATGCTCATGAGTACTGTAACTTTCTTTTCTTTGCCCTGACTGGTTTATAGTTATTCTTAAAATTAAGTACTATGAATCCTCCAATTTTTTTCTTTTATAAAATTCTTTTGGTTACTTCAGTTCCTTTGACTTTTCACATACTTCTGGGAATCAGCTAGTCTATATAAAAAGTCCTGCTAAAATTATGATATGAATATTTACAAATCAAATGGAGAAAACTGAATAACAAGTCTTCCATTAGTCATTTAAATAAGTCTTCACTTTATTCATCATTTTTTTTGTATTTTCCACATCCAAAATACTTTGTTTTGCTAGGCTTATATCAAAGTTTTTACTTTTTTCCTTTTTGGCAGCTGTTATAAATGGCATTATTTCAGTATTTCTATTTTAAATTGTTCACTGCTAGTATATAAAAATATTACCAATTTTGTTAACTTGTAACACTGACAAACTAATTATAGTTAGGTATATTCCATGGCGCTTTCTACTTGGTCAAGTCAGTTGCAGAAGGGACAATTTTATTCCTTTTTTCCAGTCTGTATGCCTTCTTTTTTTTTGTTGCTTTATTTTATCACACAGGCCTTCCAGTATGATGTTGAATACAAGTGATGAGAATGGACATCCTTGCCTTCTTTCAGATCTTTTTTTTTTTTTTAATATGTTTTAGTTGTAGATGGACATAATACCTTTATTTATTTATCTTTATGTGGTGCTGAGGATCGACCCCAGGCCCTCACACATGCTAGGTGAGCGCTCCACCACTGAGCCACAACCCAAGCCCCTTCTTTCAGATCTTAGCATTCTGTTTTTCACCATTAAGTACATTAGTTGTGGAATTTTTTTTGTAGATATGTTTTTTTTTTTTTTGAGACTGGCTTTGAGCTCGAGATCCTCCACCTCAGCCCCCTGAGCTGCTGGGATTATAGGCGTGCACCACAGCACCCAGCTGCTGAAATGTCTTTATCGTGAATTAATATTCTGGGAGCTGGGGTTGTGGCTCAGTGGTAGAGCGCTCAACTCACACATTCGAGACCCTGGGTTCGATCCTCAGCCCACATACAAAAATAAACAAGTGAAATAAAGGTATTGTGTCAACTAAAAAATAAATATTTTTTTAAAAAATAGAGTATTCTCTCAAATGCTTTTTTTTTCACAAACTGATAGGATCATATGAAATTTTTTTTCTTTAGACAATATGGTGGATTATACTGATTGGTTTTCAAATTCTGAACCAGACTTGCATTCATTTTAGTTTCCCCACTTTGTCACACACTAACAACATCTGTATCCAGGGCCAAGCTGCAGGTTAGAGACAGTAAAAGTGATGGAATCTATTCCAAGTTCTAGGAAATCAAAATTCCTCTAGTAAGAGAAAATATTGTCCTCCCTCAGCTTTAAGTGCCTGCCCTGCTGCCAATGTCACTACTAGACACTGTAGATGCCAGGATAGCATTACCTGGGGGCCAGACT